AAATTATAGTGTGACTTGAAGGTGGTGCACGTGTGTCTGCTCTCACTTCAGACTATGGGATTGTCATTTATTTTATGTTTATTGCTTTTGAATGTGTGCTTTTGTCATATATTAATTTTATATTGATTGTTAATCCTTTTTATCATTAGTTAGGTAGGTAAATATAAATAGGTGAACATTTGGTGGTCTGGAATGGATTAAATTAATTTATATTATTTCTTTTGGGGAAATTTGACTTGGAACTTGACCAAATTGCAACTGGGCCAGCCTTCTGGAATGAATTAAGTTGGTGTTCCAAGGTACGACTGTACTGTTTTACTATCTTTGTAAGACAACGTAACAAATACACACACACATATGTATACACTAAATTATTTAACAATCAGCTGGCTAATGGTTACTTTTATTCATTAATCCATATTCATATAATTTAGTTAACACTCTGTGTGGACTGCAGGCCTCTAGCAATAACATACCTGAGGATAGGCCTGGGCGATATCATGGCAATATTATATTGCGCATGCGCAGTAATCACCAGGGCTTCAGATGAAGGGCAAAACATTTGGCTGGACACCAGCTTTTCTGCACTGTACGGATGTTTCTTAAAACCCACAATTTGGTAAGCAGTTTAGTAGTATGGCTAAAATAATGAGGTATTTTATGATACTGAAAAGCTAGTAATCCGTATAAAATCGGCATATCCTTATGTTTAATAAATGTGTCAGATTTTAAACTGCAAGGAGTACCACTACACTACCCATGTCTTTTACCTTGTCTATCCACAAGATCTCCTCTTTTAAAAGATGTACTGGTTGCTGAGCTGTTCCTTTCTTCACCGCCACTTTAGTGCATATCGCACTGAAGTATACCAAACCATAGTATACTAAAACAGGATTATGTGTTGTGCTTCGCTAACCGTATTAAACATAAAAGAAACGGCAAGCGTATACAGATTACTAACTTTTCAGTCTCAAAACGCATGTCATAGGCCAAACGTTTCGCCTGTCATCTGAAGTCCTGGTGATTATGCGATGCGTGAAAGAAAGCTAGAGAGCTTCCCCATGCCCCCACCCTCACACATAGGCTGTGAGAGAGATCTCTCTTTTCTGGATTAAGAATAGCGAAAATGCAATTAGACACGTACACTTCACTGCGATTGCAGCCCCTTTTATATAACAAGCTATAGTGAGTGCGTAAAACTGCCCAAGCTAGCGACTTCCACATCTTGCTTTTTTCGTATTACTCACATTGCGTGTATTTGCGTGCGCTTTGTGTAGTGGGATTTTCCACTATACGCTGCATCCACTGCTCAAAAGTTTGTTTTTACAAAGATTGCAAATAGCTGTGCTACTGGATGTTGTTTTAAGCATAAAATACTTACAGATCGCCAATCACTTCTCCTCCTACTTCGAAGGGTATGTACATGCAGTGTTGTGAAAATGCGCTACACACACAAAAAATAAAAAATAAAAAATAAAAAAATAGAATTGACATGGCGTCACAGAAGACGGAAGTCACCACACTCACAATTACTGGCAAAAACGGAGTGGTTAGCCTCAGCTGGAATGCTCCAAATAACGCAACTAAAATGGGAAAGAGCTATCTTGAGGTTGATTGTACAAATTGATTTAACAAGAAATAGGGGGATCTTTTTACAGTCTGCCGAAAACGAAATATCGGGCGTGGATTGGTCACATATGGGCGATACCTGATCCAGCTAATTAGGTATGGATCGGTGCTGATATCAATCTGAATATCGGATCAAAGCACCTCTAGTATGATCCCCCTGAACTTGAAACCCACCCTCTGGTCCCCTTTCTTAAAGACTGGGCCCACCATCCCAGACACCAATGCAGAGGCACTGTCTTCAAACTCAATGCAATGTTGAAGAGGCCGGTCAGCCAAGACACTCTAACAACATCCAGGATCTCAGGGTAAATGTTATTCACTCCCAGAGTCCTACCACCAAAGACTTTTTTTTGACTACCTCAGTGACCTCAGCCTTAGTGATATGTGAGTCTTCCTCAGAGTCCCATGACTCTCCTTTCTCCAGGGAAGTCATGTCAGTGGGATTCGGGGGATCCTCAGAGAGGGCGCGCTGTAACACTCCACCTAAGGTCTCCAAGATGGCCGGATACTCAGAACTGATGTTTGGTGTATAAACATAGAAAACAGCTAAAGCCTGTCCCGCGACTCAAAGCCGAAGGGGGGCAACCCTCTCATTCACCCAATAAGCACTGAACTGGGGAGCTATGAGTAATCTCACACTTGCACAACACCTCTCACTCAGAGCAATGCCATAGTGAAAAAGAGTCCAGCCCCTCTCCAGAAATTTGGTTCCACAACCCGTGCTGTGTATTGAGGTGATCCTGATTATATTTAGAGATCTTCTGCACTAGCTTAGACTCCTTTCCTACGAGCAAAGTTACCTTCCATGTCCCTAATGCCAGTTTTGTAGCCAGGGTTGTCTGTCAAGTTTTTTGCCTTTGACTGCTGCCCAATCCACATTTAACCAGACCTTTATGGCTCCTCCTGCAGGTGGTTGGCCCAAGGAAGGTGGTCCCATATAGCTCTGTAAAGGCATTGTCTGGTTGTGTCCCAGCTGCTAGCCATCAAGCTCCCCCCCCAGGTCTGGCTCTAGGACGGAGCCTTGGTTTCCCTATTCAGACAAGGTTTCTGGTTCATTGATATTTTTCTTAATGATGGTCATTTGAATCATACTTAGTCTGGCCACTCACCTAGGACCAATTTGCCTTGGGAGACCCTACTAGGGGCAATTGCCTCCAACAACATAACTCCTAGGATCACTGGGACACCCAAACCCCTCCTCTCTGATAAGGTGATGATTCATGGGGGGGTTTTGAATCATGTGTTTCTTTAAAATAAATCCCATTTTGATTTACCAGGGGAGATTACAGTGCTCTTTGGTGTTTGCATGTTGGTGCCTGGTAGGATGAGGGCATGCTTTAAGGGTTTTCTAGTCTTTTCAGAGGTGGGGGGGCTCTGTGAGTGAGTTGCCTGTGCTGACACCGTTGTGGGGAGGATTTCTCTGAACATCCTCGTGGCGGCTGGGACGGGATGAGATGGCAGACATCCCCAACTATCGCTGCTGGGCCACAGATAATTAGCATGACGAGTCTGAGCACCTATGGAGATTGAGTAAAACAGGCTTCATTGGTGGTGCTGAAGGTCAGGATCACAGCTGGTGTCACAGCCTTGGGGCAACAAACAGATGGAAGCCTGTGCTGGAGTCGGACATGTAAGCTTATGGGCAAAAAGCTTTTGGTCTTTTACATTCTTTCGTGTGTCTGTGCATGTGTGTTTCTGTGTTTGTCTGTTTATGTCTCTGTATGTGTCTCTGTATATATGTGCACTCCTGGGCAGAAACGATGGGTCAAACCCAAAATTGCCTGGTCAGAGTTCAGATTTGAACCCTGCGGAGAATATTTGGTCTCACACTAAATAGAACATTTTTCAACTGCTCATGAACTGTTTGAAGCTATTAGCATTAGTCATTAACGAAATCAGAGGGAGAAGCTAAGTTACTTTATCTCTTTGTTTAATTCACACCAATGTCCTGACTAGTTACTTGGTGTTGGAACCATTAAAAGCTTAATGTTTTGCAGTTTTAGGTTTGGCCCCTTTTTGCCCATGTGTGTATCTGTATCTTTATTTTCACTGTTTCAGTGTATTAAGCACTATAGCTGGGTGAAAGATCAATTGAAAGTCCCTTTCAATTGTACATGTAGATATTCTCGACTTCCAGTTTCCTGTGGTTTTTTAAGTGGAGGAAGGTAAGGAATAGAATGTGAGACCTCTGAATCACACGTTATCATGCTGCTCAGTGTTGGGTTACTCTGAGCCTTGTTCCCAAATGGTCAAACATCTTCTTCCAGAAGAGCTCCATTGAGTTTTTATGAAGCTCGGCTGGTGCTTTTTATGCATGGATGGGGGAGTGCTTCTTGCACCAGTGGCTTGATGGTCTTGGCTTGGGTTTCCATCAGCACACTGTCCATCATCACACCCCCGGTCCAGCTGGAGGAGCCCTGTCAGGATGCTTTGGGTTTTTTGTTTTACTTTTGGCAACGTTCCTGGTGATTAGAATGTATCAGAGTTGCTTCAGGTCTCCGCTGGAGGAGATTAGTAGGAACAGACAGCATCCGGATAAAAGGGGCCGTCTCCTGGTGTAAGCCACAGGGCTTGCTAAAGGGGGGAAGCTCCAGGTTTGAACCGCGAAAGGTTCCCTGAGGGGGGATTCTGAAGGCAGAACCTTTAACACGAGAGTCTTCTCTGTGTACTGTCAACCTGTCATCTGACCAAGAAAAAGACCTGAAATTACAAGCTCTGAATCTGTCATTGTGCACCTTCAACTTTCCATAATGGCCATGGAGTGCGTCAGGTGCAGATCCATGGGGTTTTGTCATCCCAAAATTGTGGAGGTATGGTCGAAACAATAGTTTTACTTAGAATCCTCTCGACAGAGGTTTATATGCTGTGTTAATATCTGTATTTCCAGGGTAATCTGGGAATGACTTTAAAATCTCAGTTATCCTGTTCTTCACAGACAGAATCTGAAACTTGATATCAAGGACTTTGTGTGAAAGTCGTATTTGATTTCACAAAGCATAGTGCAGGCAAGCTTACTACATGCAACAAACATACAACAGGCATACTAAGAGCCACAAATACAATGCTCTTGTAGATCAGGGATGCCCAACTCCAGTCCTGGAGGGCCAGAGCCCTGCACATTTTTGGGTTTCCCCTCATTTAACACACCTGATTCAACTCCTTGTGCTAATTACCACACAGCTCTTGAGCTGAATTATTTATGGTGGAACAGGGATAAAACTAAGCTACACAGGGCTCCGGCCCTTCAGGACTGGAGTTGGGCACCCCTGTTGTAGATGGTAACAATATTTTCAAGAAAATGCAAACTTAGAGCATTGCATGGTAATGAGTTTGAAATGTAACATGTTGTTCTTAACTTCTGTCCTCCCCAGGGTTCGAACTTCCCTCTCCAGGACAGCCTACCAGGGCCAGAGCCAGCAGTTCATTGTCAAGCCCAAGTACTACCCCTCCTCGAACCACCCGGTGGACCGTGCCATCCCCCTGTCTGGGGGCTATGGCTCCACCAATGGTCAGTCTAACCTTTTCCGCTGGCGGGTCAGCTCTGGCTGACCATGTGTAATCTCAGCTGTTTGAAGAATAAGCAGCCTCTCTGTTCCTTTTCCTGTTCCTTTTTATTTTGTTTGTTTATTCTCTTGGACTTTGGTTTGGCCAAACATAGAAAACTGTCTCGGGCCCGTCTTTGCACCATTGGCCAACAATGAACAGCTAATGTATTATTTTAAAACATGAGTTTTTGTTATTGAATAAACTGGTCGTCGGCTTGGTGTTTTGTGTGTCGGCAAAGTGTGCTGATTTATTCTGGTGGCCTCTACTGCCTCAGGGTGGAAATCTGCCCCCTCATTAATCACTGTTAAGCAGAGAACCCTCAGTTAGGTCAGCCTTGGTTAGGTCAGCCTCTCATTACTGTGTTACTCACTGGGCCACACTCTTCCCCGCAGTATATGGCTGGTAAACAGCTTTTTCTACTGCATGTGGCTTCTCCATGATACATTTTGGGTTGCTGCCTCCTGTCCTTGGACATCTTGGGCAGAGGTCCTCTGGGCTTAAATACTATACTGGTTTGGATATTGGTTTTGTCCTGGCTTAGCTGACCCATCATCCAGCTTACTCTTGGCTTGTGCCGTTGAGACAACATCCACAGCACTCCGGCGTTGAGTAATTGTTTAGTCGAGCATAAACAGCCCTCATCTGAGAGGTCAGATATCTAAGAGGGAACAAGCTTCCAGGATAAACATCTGTCACAGGTGACACACCACAGCACCTGCTCGTCCTCATCGTTAGACCTCACGGTGTCTTCTTCCTCCATCTTTAACGTGTGATTCCATCCCCATCGGCCATTGTACAGATTTTGCCATTGTGCTTAAAGCTCAGCTCAATGAGTATGTGGCTTCTCATACTGCTACCTTGGCAGCGGAAGCCTAAAGGCATAGAGTGGACTGACTGAAGCAGGACATGGCATGGGTCTGGGCTTCCTAGCTGGGACATTAAACAAAGAAAGTGTTTGCTGTCTTGCTGCTTGAGCACATTTTGTTGTGATATTCTTTGTTGTGGTGCCTGTGGCCTGTGAAGGAGAGCACATGTGGGTAGCCAGCAGCAGGCTGTGAACCCATAGTGTTCCCCAGGTCCTCTGGTCTTCTTTAGGGGCTTTACTACGTGGAATTCACTTAGCCTGAAGCTGAAAGGAAATCCTTTCAATACCCAGTTCCCCACCTCCCTGCCTCCCCTTGTGAAAACAGTTCCGCTCTTGGCTTTAATCAGTGCGACACTTGAAGATTAATGACTTCATCCTGGACAGCTGTGAGAGGAGTGTCTATCCTTGCATGGCACTGACATATTGGAGCCTGTCCAGTGCTATGTCACCATACGTCAGAGACTCATTCATCACAGTCCTCTTTTCCAACCTGTGGCTTTGGTCTGGTATGTTCTACCTGGGGAACTATCTCCATTTTTGTATCATGTGATGCTGATGTGTCGGTCAGAACCCAGATGCCAGGATCTTATAATTTCTGTCCGGATTGGATGATGGAAGAATCTGGAGAAGGTCTCAGAGGCACTGTCATACTGTCAGATGTGTGGACACCTGAGCAGAACGCCTGACCAACTCTGATCTCAAAGTGGTGCTCTGTCGAATCTGAAGCACGACTGTCAGTGCTTATAAGGTTTTTATTATTATAGTGATTGTTGCTGAAAATGTTTTCCACACAGCAGCTGAAAAGCTCACCGTTGAAAAATGCATTTAATGGTGGTGTGACTCAGTTACTTAGCATGTACTTAATTACCATATCAATGTCTTTCACCAGTTTCAGTCTTTTCAGTAAAGGCAGCCCAAACCTGGAATATTCAGTCAAATTTGCTTTCCTGTCTTTCTGAAGACTTCCCATGGGACATTACAGTGGTTGTATTTTTGAGGGAGTTTAAATAGGAGCGAGTTGGCGGCGGTGAGCAGGCTGGCATGATGACACATGCGTTTCAGCGCGGTGCTCCCTAGTGCCAAGCCATGCCAGTGCTCTCTCCAATGACTGGCTGGCTCTGGGCCCCGCTTCTCTCTACTGTCTGGTGCAAACAGCTGACAGCCGCAGACTAAACCTACGAGTGCGGAAACCAGCTGTGCTAGGGTGGGGTGGGGTGGGGTGGGACAAGGAAGGAAAGGGAAGCGGGGGCCATCAGGAAAACGTGGGGAACTGCAGAAATGGGATGAGTGAGGTGGAGCGCAGGGATGAGTGGGGAGAGGAGCAGGGGTGGCTGCAGGAATGGTGAGGTCACCTGACATACATGGCATCAGCAGGGAGGGGGACCCGGAGTGAAGGAATGAGGGGTTGGGACTCGGAAGACAGATGTTTGGAGACAGAGTGGGAGGGTGGAGAGGATGGGGTGGGCGGGGATTTTGAGGCAGAAAGCACAGGAGTGACTTCATCAAAGCGAAGTGCAGAGAGGGGAGAGTATGGAGAGTGAAGACACGCCAGGGCACGGTGGGGGCGTTCAATGGGCTCGGGGTGGGGGGGCACGGCTTGGCTCCACTCCTTATGTTGGCTGGGTGGCTGGCAGGATAGTGAGGAGGGTGACGGGGGCGGATGGGCGGAGAGCATCCCCACTTTCGGTCTCTGTCAGGATAGAGTGAGGTATTGTGAACGGCTCTCAAGACCTCAGCACTTCCAGGGCGCAGTTGGAGCCCATCCCGGAGTTTTGTTTGCTGAGGTTTTTTTTTCCGTATTTCCCTGCTCTTGTTTCAGAGGCGCCACTGGATTTAGGAGCAGGGAGAGAGAGAGGAAGTAAAAGGGGAGAAGGAGAGGGGCAGAATCAGAGTACTCGTGAAGAAGAGAGAGGCCGCCTTCCTTTTACGCTTTTCAACTGAAGCCTTTTTTTTTTGTAAAATGGGGGGGGCGGTGCCAGTGGATGTCACACTAACGTCTCTCTTCTTCCTCTCCTGCGTGTGCTGGCTGGCAGGGGGCAACCACACGGGTCGGATCAGGGTAGTCTTCACCCCAAGCATCTGCAAGTTGACCTGCAGTGGAGGCAAGTGCCAGAACAGCTGTGAAAAGGGCAACACCACCACCATCATCAGCGAGAACGGGCATGCCACGGACACTCTCACTGCCTCCAACTTCCGAGTGGGTAGGTTTCCTTGGACCGCCACTGCGGCTGTCAGTGCCCAAAGCACTGTGGCAGCCCTTTAGCCCTATGTGCTCCACTGATACCTACAGTAATATTACAATGGGTACAATTATAATAATATAATTAATATATATTTCTTGATATTAAATTGTTGGCCCTGGATGTGACGCTATGACCATAAGTGTTATTCAGATGAAGATTTTCTTTCAAGAGTATAGCTTGTGTATTTTTCTAGCTGCAGACATCAGGTTCAGCAAATGGTTAATATAGGGGTAGCTGTAAGTTATCTTCACATGTGCGTCACTGTCTAATGGTGACAGTTTGACAGTTTCTGGTTTGTATCGTGTTGAGGTTCCTGACTGATTTGAGCCGCGCGCGGTCTTGGAGAGCTCAGAGACTCTCCACACAGCTCTAGCTACTCAGCTAGGCTAAAAGGCTTCTTGAGTGGTTCATGTAGATGGTCCACTTGCTCATAAAGAGTTCCAGGATTTTAAAACCACAGTAATTTTGTTTCTGCATGCTGGACCTCCTCTTAGAGTCTCCCTGAAGAGACGCTAACCTGCTCTAGGTCCTTATATGGCCGCAAGTGCTTCATGCAGGAGTTGGTGCTGCTCTGTGGAATGGGCCATTCTGCTCGAGGGAAGCTTCTAGCCCATGCTTACCCAAGTACCCTGTGTGTTTGACTGGAGGGGTGTGCATGCCTGACTGACATATCCAAGCCTTTCCTGTGGTACAGTCTCATCTGGTTCCGGCCTCATGTTGACGCTGAGGGATGGCACGGTCATCTGCTTTGTTTACACTACCCCGCAGCTACACACTGATGCACTGTTGGCTTTAGGAGTCATGATTCATTTGTCTCCACTGCATTTATAGTAAACTCCACCCTTGCCGAAATGACAGCTCCGCATTTCAATGAATCACGCCCATGCTCTTCCCTGTGGGGGCCACTAATCCTGTGCCTTGTTCTGCTGTTGTGTTGCTGCCTGTTGGCAGGGGGGGTGGAGGTTTGGGGAGGGTGACAGAGTTGTGAGCTGGAGAATGAATGCTGGGTGTGATGTGAGCAGCTGGGTAAAATCAGCTGGCAATCGGCAATGGTAATCCCTCCCCTTTCAGACAACTACTACTGACCAGTCTGTGTCTGACAGCACATATGAAAAATTATGCTTTTCTCTCACCTTCCTGGAGCCTCAGCGCATACCTGTGTATCTGACAGGTCGCCTCTGTCTCTCCACACTAACAAAGGATAGCATTATTCCTTGCTCTCGACTTATTCACTTGATTTGCTTTTCGTTGTCAAAGATGTACTAAGTGACCTAATTTGGTTCCCACACACAGCATGAGATGTGGGGAGATGTACCTGTTCAGGAAGACCTCACAAGAGTTGTGTTTACTCATTCTACAAGAAAGTACGCCGGGTTTAGTGGTGGTCAAGTTACTGATTAGTCAGTCAAAAGGGCATTGTTCTTGTTTGTATAGTTCATGACATTTACACTCTTAATGGTGTATTAGATGAGAATGACTGTAGTGTTTAGGGATGATGAGTTGGGGATAGAGTTCTTTGGGGTGGGGTGTTGGGGCTAGGCCTTCACCAATTTATGCACAGAAAATATGACAGGAATAATTTGGTGCTGGATGGCACATTGTGGTATTTTTCAACCTGGTCTCCAACCAGGGTTAGGGATTCCAGCATGCACTTGATTTACAAGCTGCAGTGCCATTTTTCACAAATTCCCCCAGCCGGTATCCTGCCGATGGGTACACCAGTGGTTTGGGCTGCTGTGCCACCCTGTGCTGACTAGAGACATCATCGGGGGCAGCATCTCCTTTGGCTCATACATGCTGCCTCCCCCCATCCCTGTGCTAGGGTGGCTATCACTTACTTGCAGTCACCTGGGGAAGTGTGGGGGAGCAATTTCTGGAACATCTGGGCAACGTTTCTGGAATGTTCCGGTGGTGTAGGTGTTGGCAGGCCCGACCCGTGGTACCTAGCACCGTACCAAGCTCTCTTATTAGACAGAGGTCCCACTGCTGGTCTGATTGTGTGTCACACAATACTGCTGTGTTTAAGCTGGCTTACATGAAACTGAGGGCTTTGGCAGAGAAGTTGAGAAATTTTTACTTTCCACTTTATTTTATTTTATTTTATAGTCCCTTCTTTGTTTCCTCCCCCTACCAGTGAGATGTGCAAAACAGGACTGAAGAGAGCTTACAATGACAACATACTTCATCCCCAACCTGCTCTGTTGCCTCCATATCCACAGTAACCTGTCCAGTTCACTCCTGATGGGCCTGCTGCCTCAGTCTCGAGGTCTGGGGATGATCCCACAGGCTCTGTGGCTGGTCCAACAGCTTGTGACATCAGGGTCCCCGGGCACTGAGTCAGTCTGCAGCCCCATGGTCTCATAATGTAGCAGCAGAGAGCAGCCCGGACCCTGTCCTGTGGTGGAGCATGCCGAGGCTGCAGGAGCACTGCAGTCTTGGACTTATATGGTGCTGGTGATCGGCCCCGGCTGCCCGTCTGCTAGCTGTCATTTCCTCCCTGTCACATTTCATTAGTTCACAGTTGCTGTGCTGTCATTTTTTCCTTCCAAGCCCTTTTTTCAGATTTTTTTTTAACCTGGCAGTTGGAGAAGTGGCTCATTACAGCTTCTCATGCCTAGAACTGTGGTGGCAGGAGGAAGTGCGTGAGGCTGGGGAGTGTCGTGTGTCAGGTTGCCAGAGACCATGCCCACAGTAAATGCTGACCGCTGTCTTTTTTGTGTGGGGCCGAGTCGCACACCTTGAAATGCCATCAGGAGTCCTGGAGCCAGGTACACAGCACCATAATGACCCTGCACCCTTCCCCCAGTCACCCTGCTAAACCATTAGGAGTACAACAACATCTGGAAGGCCGAGTCCCACTGGCTTACACTCCCAGCATGCCCCCTAGAGACAGGGCCCTGTTTGAATATGATTTTTATCATTGAACAAGTACAACGAAATTGGGTGCAGTCCCTTTCAGTGCAGAATGATTTTAGAAGGCAAAAAAAGCAAGTATGACTTTGAACCCAGTCAAAGTACAGTATAATATATGTGAGTATAACAAGCCGCGCATCATTTCCTTTAGGTAGGAACGCAGGGCAGGAGAGCATAATTATTCCATGAGATATAGCTGTTCTTTTTAATCTCTCTTAGAAGTTGTACGGTGATTGCTGAATTTTACGTGGAGTTTTAGTGGAATCGATTGAGGGCTTACTCTCCTGTGTTGAGTGCTAATTGTGATCTCTCATTGGCTAGCAGTCTCTTATATTCGGTTGTACTGGAGGTGTCTGTTATTTGAAAGTAATCACGGATTTCACTAACACTGGATAGTTAAGCATGTGTATGTCTTTCACATCGAGTGGGATGCTCACCGTAGCTGCTGGGTAGCAGTCATAAGGTTATTATGTATCAAGGAGCTCTGCAAGTGGGGTTGAAAGTGATTTTGAAAATGATCGTACATTCTTTCTAATTACATCCTGAGAAATGAGACTGATGCAGACATACTGAGTGACTTGAGTACTTTCCAGGATTCAAACCCAGGCAGCGGCTCTCTTACTGGTAAAGAAGCTAGACTTGCCATTGCATCGTCCTACCAGGGATCCTCTTAATTAAACTAAAATCTAGTAATAACTGCATGTGAAAGCCTCTCCAAACACATAAATAACACACAAACGGGCACCTGATCCTACAGTCCTCAGCTGGGCCTGGTAGCTTGATTACAAAGCTGAATTCCTCATGCAGAATCATGGCAGACAGACTTCTGTGCTGCCTCCAGACCCAGGGATGCCAAGGCACTGTTATTCTCACCATAATAAGAGGTTAGGGGAAGTCAGATTTATTACACCGCTCGTTAACCATGACCGCTCCATCCCCCCCCCCCCAGTTCCTGAGTCGCTCCTCCGCAACACAGAAGTTCTGGGCTAGTTTTGTACTCCTGGATATTTGCTTACAGTGGATTCTGTGGCTTTTCCTTTGCTTGGAGTGTTAGTGCTTCAGGGGCACCACATCTGGATGGGCCTATGTAGAGATTGCATGGCACTTTCTGTTAGCGTGGTTCGCCAGTTTCTCAGATGGTGGAAAAATGGCACGTTCCGCCTTACTGAGCCCTCCTGCCTCAAACACAGAATGTCCCGCCTCACCGTGCCCTCCTGCCTCAAAAACAGCACTGCCCACCTCACCAAGCCCTCCTGCCTCAAAAACAACACTGCTCACCTCACCAAGCCCTCCTGCCTCAAAAACAGCACTGCCCACCTCACCAAGTCCTACTGCCTCAAAAACAGCACTGCCCACCTCACCAAGTCCTACTGCCTCAAAAATGGTACTTTACACAAAAACAGCATCAAGTTCTGTTTCCTCAAAAATGGCATGTTTATCATCCAATTTGATTCCTGTTTGCTGTCTCACAGGACTTTTGAACATTTACGACTGCAGATAAGTCAGTGCTGTGCCTGCGTGACAGCAGGGTTATTTGAGCATCTTTCCTTGCAGGTGGTTTCATAGTGGTAATGAATCATTCTCCAGTACAGATTCGATTCTGCACTCAAACGTGAGCCATTTTACAGCTGGAAATCCTGTGTCAGGACCATGTTTGAAATACATAAATATATATTATATAAATAACAAGGCTTTATCTTGCAAGTGTATCTGGCTCTATGTCCTTGCTAGAGGTGCCTTTTTGTAGAGCGTAATAAAATGTTGAGAGCTGGTGATTGTTGGCTTCCTTTCACATTTTTTCTGGGAAGACCTGCAGTTTTTCCTACAGACGATCGTTAATTAATAATCATTTGTTTTCACCAGTGGTCCATCTGGGGCTTTTCGGGGTCCCGCAACTCCTTCTGGGTGGCAGTTTTGCTGTGCCTCTCTGTGTGATGCACATGACTCCCGCCATGAAGTGCACACCCAGCTTGCTGCTGCCTGTGTGGAGTCTAGCTGTGACTGTGGAGGAAATTCCTTTGTGGATGAATAAACCTTGGGTGACTGACAATTCTCATAGAGGAAGGCAGAGTGAGAGCAAGCACAGACTGAGCTGGGTGCAGGGGGGGGGATCCTGCAGCATTGAGCTGTAAAGCTGGAAGGCTAAGCCATCTTATTGCCCCCCCCCCAGAGATTAGTGGCAGCCCCTAGAGGTGCTTTGCATAGGCCTCCCCTCCCTGAATTCTGCATGGGATGGCACACTCTACTCAATCACAGGATGATTTTTGCATCAGAGAAATCAATGACCGCTGCTGAAATGCACTTTGACAGCCATGGGGAATTTTGGTGGAATTATAGCTTCCTTGGAGCAAAAGACTGCATGCTGCACCCCCCCTGCCCAAAGCTCATTTTGTGATGGTTGTCATCAGCATCCCCCAGTGTTGGGACTCGAGGTGGTGTTTGTACTCATGTACTAACTGGTACCATACCTGCACCAGTTTGCACTCCCATGCCATCACTGTCCACCTCAAACTGATCACACAATCCCCCTGAGAGTGAGACCCAATGAGCTTTGGATATGGCTCCCCTGACCCTCTCTGCACCCCTCTCCCAGTGGTCTGCCACCTGCCCTGTATGAATGGGGGCCAATGCAGCAACCGTGACCAGTGCCAGTGTCCACCTACCTTCACTGGAAAGTTCTGCCAGTTGCCTGTCCATGGCGGATCCCAGAAGACCCTCTCCGTCAGCCATGGCCGGGCCACGCAGGTGCACTCCACGCACACCCTGCCGCTCACCTTTGGAGGAGGCCAGAACCAAGGTACGGGCCTATGTAACCAGCATTTAAATATAAGTGCATGTGTATGTGTGTGTGTGCACACGCACGCATGCATGCGTGTGTGACTGTGAGCTGTGATCTTACTGAACGCTTTTGATTATAATCAGTTAAACTTTATTTTTAAAAACTTTAGCTGATTTTTCATTGCATGACTTTAATGGACACATTGCTTGAAAGCAACAGTCTGGAAAGGTCTATTTGAGCCAAACGGCAGGCAGGAATTTGTTTTATAATGGGTTCTGGATCCAGTGCTAGCGGTTACTCCATCAGGATGTCGCAGGGCTTTCAGAGAAATGTACCCTTTGCTAGTTCAGCCAGTCACAGCTGTTTTTTTGAAGACCTCTGTTCTCCCCATGAGAACCTGGAATGCTGCATATGGACTGTCCTTTGTCCTGACATATGGCTTCTCTCTGAGAACTCTGAGGTTTATAAAGCTTTAAACAAACCACACACTGGCTGTCTGTAATATTAATTGTCTTTTTAGTTCTTTCTCAGAACTTAACTGGAAGTGTTTAAGTTGAGCTAGCTGTTTTATTTTTGAATTAGAAGTCTTTTCTTTGTTATTTACCCTGTTTGTCCCCTCTATCCCCCCATCCTACTGTTGGTCCTCATACTCTTTCTTCCTTCCCTTCTCTACACCCTCCCACAGTAAAGTTCACACCCAGCATTGTGAACATTCATGTAAAGCATCCTCCTGAGGCGTCCGTGCAAGTCCACCAGGTCTCACAGCTGGATACCAATGGACAGCAGGTTAAGGGCTCCCAGTCAGGCTACACCACCCACAAGGGCCAGCAGACCCACCATGTCTACCCCAACCAGCAGACTTTCATCCATCACTACCCTGTCACCTCTAAGAGCACATTGGGCCGCTGCTTCCAGGAGACCACTGGGATGCAGGTAAGGGACAGGCTTGGCTATAGGGCCCTGAAATAGGGAGTATGTACTCGAGCTTCAGAATGAAGTGTCCATCAAGAAGATAAGATACCAGCTTCAGACAGAGGTGATTCTATGTATAACAATTCCCAGCTTCCAGAATTTATTGTAAAAGTGACTTACCAACTTCAGAAAGAAGTGTCCATCAAGGAGATGAGATACCAGCTTCAGACTCTGGTGTCTCTGAGGATATCAGGTCCCAGTCTCCAACATTTTCTTCTGTAAGTGAATATTCTATAAATATATGACGAGCTTCAGAATGAAGTGTCCTAGGTTCCTGACTAAGATGTTCATTCTATAAGTGAGTAACCAGCATCAAAGTGACTTGCTTACCACATAGGTGAAGTAGATGTGAGCTTCAGCTCAGGAGTCTACTGGATAAGCCGTATCGAGTTCAGATTCAGCCCTGTGATTTAGGAAGCATTGTTCAAGTCTTTCTGTTCTGGCCCAGGTAATATCAGGGTAGTAGATATTTTTTAGGTTATTTCTGAAATCAAATATCTCCATGCGGTTCAATTTCAGTGCTGCCTGATGGATTTTGATCCCCGCCCCCAGATCTCTCAGTGTTGAACTGAGCATGTTTGTCATGGGGAGCTCCTGCTTCAATCCCCGCGTAATTCCACACTCCTTAAACTCGCCTGTGATGGTGGCAGTGTCAGGAGCCGAATCTAAGCTGAAGATTAATGGGCTCAACGACAATTACAGGCAAATGAGTGAGCTGGAGGGAGGCCAGCGCCTTGGAAGGAGCAGCCCGGCAGGGTTGGGGGGCTGTGATTAAGGCATCCATCCAAGGCATTCATCTCTCTAAAGTAAGCTCCCCCAGGGATGTCGCCTGCACTGTTTATTTGTGGTCAGCAAGCCCACTTTGAACGTAGCTCCGGCCGTCCTCAGGAACCACTGGGATTACATTTCCCTGAAGCAGATGCCTTATAGCTCTGAGTGTCAGAAATCACCCCCAACCATATTTACCATTTTGCCACCATACGTGGTCATTAGATATACTCTATGCGCAGTACATCAAGTTCTAATTAAGCTGTCGATTTAATCCGTCTGCGTTGGCTACAATGATTCAAGATCTGGTGAAGATAAGAATGGATTTATTTGGCACACCTCTTGTCTGGGGAATATGGATGAGCCGTAAAAGGTGAAGTTCCCTTGGAGAATGCTTGTGTTCTGACATACGCCCAGCCCTACACCTCAGACCTTGCAGCACAGTGGAAGTTGTTTACTCTATGCCATTTTAGCACAATGGCATAACATCCTTCATAATTCTCAAATAATTGCTCAATTAACTACATTTCCAATCAAATTCACAGCTGCACGATTGGGACCATTTTTGCATTCACCCTCCATCTTACTTTTTTCAGGAGGAGATGGGTACTTTCTTAAAGTGGATGTTTGCTGGGCTGAGAAATTGGGACTCTGCAATGCTAATATGTTTAACATGCTAAGCTGTTAAGAACAGCGTATGGTTTGATCACTTACCTGCAGGAGAGAACGAGAAAAAAAAATAGATTTCCCGCACATGGCCAGCAGGGGGGATGGAACTTAGTGACAACAGAGACAGTGTTAATTAACTCTTGATTGCTTTAATGCATAGCATTTTCTAGTAGTAAGTCTTCAGAGGTTAAACTGCCTCACAATGCGTGGAAAATACATGGGTTCAGACCTAAAATTGCTAACACTGTTGTCTGTGAATTGCAGTGTGGGAAAATGCTTCCTGGCCTGTCCAAGCAGGAGGACTGCTGTAATTCCATCGGCACCTCCTGGGGTTTCCACAAGTGCCAAAAGTGCCCCAAGAAACACTGTAAGTAGCAGTTTTTATTCTCTTGACCCAGATTGCCGCTAACAAGCTTTATGCTATCTTATGTGCCAAGTGTATCAAAACAGATTTATAAGTGCCGTTTTAAATATTGCATATAGTTTTGTCGGGATTGATTGGTGCTCTGATTGGTCTGGTCGGTCAGCTAATCAAAATCCAACATGAAGAGACAGGTGACCAATTTGCCCAATCTTCGACCTGTCCAGGCATCAATCTCTACCTACTTGCTGCATGGAACATCAGGACCTGATTAACCAATTAAAACTCAAAGCGTGTGGTGGAGGAGGCATTCTATGCCTTCAATCATATCCAAGAAAAGGCAGAAGATAGTTGAGGTTACACAGGATAGGATAGTGCTGAGTCAAGTGGCCCGGTGAGGCCCCACAAGGAGCCCTTTCCATTCATCTGAAACACTGGCTGAACCGCCGACCTTGCTGCTGACTCATTTTATAGCTTTCTCTCGAACAACTTGGCTGTCAGCAGCGTGTGGGATGCCTGGGAATTGACTCCTAATGACGTTTGTTAATGTTTCATCCGTATATGGATGTGAGTGCAGTCACGGCCATTCCAGCCCTGTGTCATCCTGATTTCATTTTTTGTTGAGGACATTGGAAAAAAAAACACCGTCTGTTTTTTGTTTACAAGAATCTTTGATGGTCCCTTCTCAGCAGATCCCTAGGGGTCTATGTGATTGAGCCATTAGCAAAGACAGGCAACACTGAAGCTCTTTTTAAATTTCCTTTCCTATAAAGTTTTGGTTTGGATTGTGACACCAGAACATTAGATTCTGCCTTATCCTTGCCTAAATTAATGCTCTGTCAGCAGTAATTGATGTTTTTGCCCATACCCAAACAATATGTCGGATTAGCTATTTCTGTTTAATGGCACAGTGAACAGCACCCACCCTTCCACCTTCTCAATAACCTGATCAAAGGATCTGATCATGACCATTGGTCCATGAGATCATATTCCTTTTGTATCTTCCCCCATTTCCCTTTGTGCATTTTCTGCCTGCTGCATGTGGAAACAGGCAGAGTGGAAAATGTGTCAAGGGGTGACTTTATTCCCCTTTATTTATCCCTGGAAGAAAACAGCCATGCTGGGCTCTGGAAGCTTAAAATGCCTTGGGCCGAGTTTGGCTCCCTGGAGCCCCTCTCTTGCTTTTCCTGTGTTATTTTTACCCTTCGTTGCCCAGCTGAGACAGGGAAGGTTGACCAGCATGTGGTGGAGCATTAGCCACCCGTTGACCTGGTAGGACTGGAGGGGCCTCATGACAGTCTAACAATTGTGTGTCAAATGTGCAGTGTGTACCACACCAATGTGAGAGGGAATATGTGGAGACAGAAGGGCCTGCTCCACTTTATCTGCAGTGATTTGTACTGTTATCTCAATGCCTGTATGCCAAAAAGCAGATGAGAAGATCTGTTATTTTTTTTTATTTGTGTTTTAAAAATCTTCCTTGCTGCCTTCATTATCCATTGTGTTTGTCTGGCACAGATCTAAAACAGGAGTTCAATGTTCACCTCTCACCACACACCACGGTTTTGACAGGCCTAACACACATGCTAAAAGCTCTAGCTCTAGTCTGGCTCCTTATAGGTGGGGGGGGGGCTCGGAGGGCTGTCTTTGCCGCCCCCCAAAACTGGAGCCCTTTGAAGAAATAACAAAGGCCTAGTGTTCGCCCTTGGCTGCAGTTGAGAGCTGCCAGGCTGCAAGGTTAGCCACTGCATGAGCCGTCTTACTGAATGCCAGAGACAGCCGGAGCCGGTAAATGAATTAGCTTAGCTGCAAAAAAACATGGTTCTTGCTCCCAAGAAGCCACTTCGCATGCAGATATTTGAGGGCCGGCTGGTTACTACTTCCACAAAACATTCCCTCCTGACGAGCCCAGTACCTTAGCTCAGTAATACCTGTCTGTAGCACCTAGTGAGTGATACAGCCCTGTTTTTATGGGATTACTGGTGCCACATAGCAGCTTTCCTCTTAGGTCCTTCCTCTCCCATTGACCAAACGTGGCCCCACCCCTCAGCAAAATGGGCTAGAGGAGCATCTTCTTAGACACTGACTCGCAATGAAACACTCAAAATGGGGCTCCAATTTTGACAAAGCGCTCTTCTTTCTTAGTAGTGTGTCCTTCTAGTCTGACTGAAGGGACTGGGTTTGTTGTGTCATTTGGCCTGCATTTGAGTATCATATCAAAAGCGTATTTATTTCCTCAGAAGTCAGTGCTCAAGTGCTCCTTCTGGCATACCAAAGCAGGATGCTAAGATCTGAATATTCTTAAATGTGTCCAGTCCTCCAGTAAAGGGCAGCAGCTCTGTCATGCCTGTGTGATGATAACTGGTTAGTGCAGTGTTTCTCAAACCGGTCTACTATCTGGGAGGGAGCAAAAATGTCTGGGGGTCCCCGAAGACCAGGTTGACAAACACGGGGTTAGTGTAATAATTTTTTTTTTGTGTGATGCCTACAGTATTTATGTAAGTCATGCCCCCAGCCAGTTGGCCAGCAGTGGGCACTGTGGAGCAGTTCCCCCTAGCTCCCCAAAACAGTCTAACCTTTTTCTGGCAGCACACCTGCATTCCAGGAAAAAAGTGTGTCTTGCTGCCTGGGTTCAGTGCCACTTCCTTGGCACTCTCCGGAGTGCTCTAGCCCTGGTCATCATAATGTTATGTTTGGTCTGTCTGCCCAGTCGAGTTGGTCCTCCCACAGGGTTTATTGAAAAGTCAGTCAAACCACCCAGGTGCCCACATTATCTGAAACATCGCCACAGTCGGTGTGGCAGTGAGGCTGCTATTCCAGCTTCACATCACATTCAAACTTCTTGCTACAAGGCCCTGTTCTCCTAGGTGACACGGTAATACAGTGCATCATCAGACATATGAATTCAGGAGGTAGCTTTAGACTTTGGGCAAGAGTGAATATTAAGCACCAGGATATTGTCTATTTTAGAGGCTATATTGTTGGTTAGATTAACACCTCCAGCTTACTTGACCTTTAAGCTCTGAAAGGAGCTGTAAGCAGCCCTGAAGTTGGCAGCAAAAGCTGGACCTCAGAATGATTCACTTGCTTGTTGGTGGAAAAACTGGAAAAACCTTGGATTCCTTACGAGACAGAGCCCAGGCTAGGCCATCTGTTTTATGACACAATAATAAACCAGCGTGATAAGTTTGTGAGCTGTCTCAAGCCCTTGAAATACCCTTGACTGAATAAAAGCTACAATCTGCACCCCCACCCCCACCACCAGCTATCCCTCTGACAGATGCGAGACACGGAATGGACTGTCCCCAAGGATATACGCGAATCAACAACTCGCACTGCCAAGGTAGGAGCTCCAGCTTGCTTCTTGTTAAATATGTCTGTGGCTGTCTTGCCTGGCTCATCTTTCACGCAGAACGGGGAGAATTCCATTGTTTTCTCAACGCGCTGGACAGCTGTGCCAGAAGAAGTAAGCCATAAAAAGTGATTTGTCACAAACAATGTAAAAACTGTGTGCGCAGAAAAAAATTAAGAATATACCTTTTGAGGCAAAGGTGATTTTGCTCATGCTGGATTCCTGCATGAGGTCCTACTGCTCCAAATGGCCCATGCTGGCAGCGAGGGCTCACAATTGCACTGCGGAGGTCTGCCAGGGCACTTGAGTTCTTCATTTCCACTGCTGCATGCCAGCAGCTTTTGGTAGCATCCCCTGGAGTCACCTGAAGTCCATCACATGACAGTTTCTTCCCTGTCGCTCTGTTTCTTTTCATATCTTTGTTGGCTATCAATCCTGCCTAGGTTGGGCTTAAATACCCAGTGCTGAACATGGGGGAGGGTAAAGGCAAACAGCAGGTGCTGTGTTTGATTGATTCCTCTAATTTGTGTTGGATTCGGATATGATTGCGTGCAGTGACACCAATACATTAGGACTGACCAGCGAGCTACTCACAAGGAGAGCCATGATGAATCACTGACTTGATCCAGCTGCCCTTAATCTCGTAAGGTCTAGGCTCAGGTCCACTGGGATGTCCTAGCCAAATCCAAGGCTGGGCAAATGCCACCCAATCACAGGAAGCAAAAAAAAAACTACTCCAGACCATCTTGTGGCCCATCTTAGAGCTTGTCATCAGGGGGCCCTAAGTGCCCTTGCTCTATACATTAGGTTCCTGGTCAGTGCAGAGGTCCATGATGTTGTTGGTGCATCATAAATGTAATTCCTGTACTTCTTGGCCTGCAGAAACATGCATTAAATGTGACACCATGTCCTACTGGCTACATTAGCACAGGATTGGAAGCCATCATTGAGGGCTTCTTATCAGGTCTTCTTCCTGTTATAAGTGGCACATTCTTGGCAATAAGCCTTCCATCTGGGTTGGGACTGTGGAGACATGGAGGGTGAGTTCCCAGTAGACAAGAAATATTTCCCCTCCAGTTGTTTTGTGCCAACGGCCGGATTCTGGCAAGAGACGACGTGCTTCATTTCCAGCTTTTCTTTTTCCTGACTCTCTGATGAGATCCCTTCTTCCCCATTCTGTTCCTCCTGTCACCCCACACCTTTGAATTACCTGTTAGAAACCTGTTGTATTCCTATCAGTTCATGGAGTGTTAAACACTGATTGCATTATGTTTTTCTGTCTGTCTCCCCACTGTTGGCTGTAGATATCAATGAGTGCCTTCTGCAAGGTGTGTGCCACAACGGAGACTGTCTGAACACCGTAGGTAGCTACAGGTGCACATGCAAGGCGGGCTTTGTACCTGATGCCACACTCACCAACTGCATCTGTGAGTTTCTTCCGGCAGCTTCCAGTCTGGCAGTCCTCTTCCTCTTGTGTTGAGTTTTTAAACTTTTTAAAGTGCAGATATATTTACCTTTTGCTAATTTGCTGTTTATGTATATTTTGTGCATTTGCATGCATTTATGTATTATATTTATGCATCAAAAATGTGGGTTCTGATTAGTGAGCTGAGCTGAAGAACTGAAGTAATTTACAGGTGCTGAATTCAGAGAAGCAGATTCCTCAAATCGTCCTTTATTACAGTTATTCAGCTATGCAACAGGGAAACAAACGGCTTATTGGCAGAACTAACGTAGATATTGAGGGGCTGAGGCAGCCCAAAGTGGGTGTCCTCACCATCCAAGCAGCCCTGGTTTAGGTACACCTTCCCAGATATTGTTCGTTAGCAAGCACCATCTTCTGGACACACTTGATAGTGCTGGTAAAAATTTCTGTGATCCTGGTCCTTCCAGAGTTTGCTTTTTGAAAAAATAAAGTTAGTAATGGGAAAAGTTTAATATTTATATTGAGGTTAATAAACACACAGATAAGAGAGCGGCCTGCCACTACTCTGACCTGAAAGGGCCAGGCTTTTTACTGTAGTACTGGTTAAGTAGCTTGCTCAAGGCACACAGCCCATTGGGATTGTCTGTTATGGTCTCCTGTTTACAAGTCCACATTCTTACCCACTCCGCTGGCTACTGTCTGCTAAGCAACGCCTGTGTATGTTAGCTTTTATACCCCTTTCATATTTCATTTCATGCATGTGTGCATGACTTGACCGGCCCCTCCCACTGCTGATTGTACAAACAGATCACCGCATGTTTTGGGCAGCTCCCACCATTTGGGCATGCATGGCAGTCAGAGAAACAAATATAGTCGCCTGTCAAGCTCTGGAATGTTCCACTGCTTTTGCCGGGGAGTCTTGGGAGTTCACCTCTGCTACTGCTATTGTGTCTGTGTTTGTAGCAGTCAGTCATCCTTGCAGCCTACTCTTCAGTGCAAAGCAGTTTCCGTTATGCTACTCTAGAAGTGTTTCTAAATGAAAGAAGAACAATGTATCACATCAGAACAACTACACCCACATGCTCCCCATCCTGTCTGCTGTGCCACCTCAGAAACCAGCACTGACTCCCTAAAATCTCACTGGTTTGGGATGAGGGCCCCCACCTGCCACAGCAATAAAGGAAGAGCTGTGTGAGTCTAACAGAGGTAGGCTGCAGGAAGGGGGATCAGGGAGTGGTTGGTTATTGCTCATCACTCCCCGCCCCTCCTACAATATCCTCCAGTAATGAAGTGCTGAGTCTGTTTTACAGGCACAACCCCCCCCCCCCAGTCAGGTTCTAATCAGGCCCCATCCTGGTATCTGAAATTGCTTTGAGAAGAGAAAGGAAGCCTTTCGTTTCCTCATGGCTGAATAAGTTAAGGAATAGCTTGTATTTTTACAGCCATTTGAACTCCTCAGCATCCTAGTATTCCCTGATGCATCTTCATGACTAGCTGGGTAAATTATAAATTTTTTTCCATCCATATATGTTTGAATATATGTATGTTTTCTGACAGATTTTTAAAAGCTGTCAGCTTCTCCTCAAGCTGCTGACCACACTGTCCTGCTGCTCTATCATGCCATATAAACATGAACCCAGAGCTTGCTTGGCCCTGCCCCTCTGCGCTGCATGTTTATATAAGCTGCCATCTCTGCCCAAAAATACGTTGGATGTAACATGTAGCCCTCAAGGCCCCTTCTGATAGGTTAGGTATCTCCAAGCATTTTTGCACTCTAAGGAGATTCTGGTGACGGGAGTTTCTTCTCTCTCTCTCTCTCTCTCTCTCTCTCTTCTCTCTCTCTTTCTCTCTCTCTTTCTCTGCCACACCCCGTCCTCATCCCCCGCTGCACCCCAGCCGATACCCCCATGGTCCATGAGCAGGAGGGGGCTTGTTTCCGCTTTGTCAGCTCAGGGAGGCAGTGTTTGCACCCATTGTCAGTCCAGCTGACCAAACAGCTGTGCTGCTGCAGTGTGGGCAAGGCCTGGGGCCCAAGCTGTGACAGGTGTCCCATTCCTGGAACAGGTAAGTCCCGCCCACACCCTGCCCCATGGGGTGGAGCCTGGCCTCTCCTCACCTGCCCCTCCACATGACCCCTGCATGTCCACCATGCTGCAGTAGTCGCTTCTCACATCATTCTAACATATCAGGGCTTCTACTCAGCTCCGCCTGGTGTCTCAGACACCCTGGTTCGGAGGTCTTGAGTATATTGGGGCTGAATAGGTTCCTGTAGCTTTTTCAAATATGGTTTTCAGCACATGCGTTTCAAAACCAGACCTGCCTGGATATATGTATTTTTTGACACTTTGCTTTCACCATGGTTGTAGGAACAGTTTGCCTTATTTCAGCTTCAATCATTAACATCTGCTTGTGACCATCAATAAATACCTGAAGGCCGTCCGGATGTCTGTGATAACAGCAAAACAAACGTGTAGCAACAGCAATAATAATCATGAGGTATATGAAAGTTGTAACAACCCTGACATCAGTGAAGAGAGCACAATGCTCAGTATGCATCCCATACCAGCGAGGTGTGGGTCTCAACACCTTCATGGGGTTTCAGTTCAGCTTTTTCCAAACTAGAAGGTTGAGAGAATGGGCTGTTTGTTGGAAACATCTCCAAACAGGTGGATTAAGAGTGGCAACAGGGCTAAGTGGAAGGCCCACTCTTTTGTGGAAATGGACTGGAACAGACAGATGGGATGTGCAACATCATGCTGTGACAGGCCTTCCATGGAAGAACAGGCTTTCTTTTCTGGAAGCCTACGCCACCTGGGAGCTTTAGTGGGATCACAGGAAATAGTCAGAAATCTGTGCTGATCTGCAAGCTTTCTTTAATGCAGTCCTGTGTATAGTGTACTGTTTTCAGAGTTACAAGTGTCCATTAGTCCAGCTGGAGGGGATAAATTTGTGGTCTGGGTCTGTGCTGAGATAAAGCAACAAACATAAGCCCATAGTAGAGTGGAATACAGATGTACCTAGAAGTGATGATCGGGATGCCTACTTTGACACTAGTGTTGGATTTAGCTTGTCATAACTCTCTTGTGCCATAGTTTGTGATATAAGGAATCAGCAAGAATTTTGGATCTCTGTCTGGTTATAAAATGTGCAAGGTTCATGTTCTTCTGCTGTTTTACTTGTGGGGGGGGCATGTGCCTCTTTATGTGTAGCTGACTTCAAGGATATCTGCCCCGGAGGAATGGGCTACACCGTCACAGGAACCTACAGGCCAAAACCCTTCAACCAGCCGAATTTGGTCATCCCCCAGAAGCCCCTGGTGCCTCTTCTTCCTTCACCCACGGTAGAGAGGCATGTTGAGGCCCTCAGCATCACTGAAAGGCAGGTCCCAGCCATCCCAGGTGAGTGTACTGTAACTGTGTGGCTGTCTCCACACAGATACCTGACGCACCCACTTCTGAGGACATGATTTGGGTTAATGCGGTCCTAGTATCAGTGACACACCTCTTCAATTAATCAATTAACGTCTTAACTTAGTTCTACTGCTCTATATTCTGTACTACATAACGGCTAAGGACATAGACTCCTGTTGAAAACTCACAGAGGACTTTCTGTTGCACCCTTGAGTGAGATGCTTAAGCCAAGTTTCTGATGGTATATAATTGGAAAATTATATGTTGATTCATAGAGAGCCATCTCTTCAAATTTCCTAAATAACAAGGGTGGGAAACCTACCACCCTGCAGGGATTTAACGAGGATCTCTGAGTCATGTGACCAGTTCCCATTTTTTGCTTTGCCCTTTTGTGTCTTATGCACCACGTTTTTATGCACCGTAGATTATAGCTCATGCAGAGCCATGGTGCCTGTAGCCCTCTTTACCTTCTGTGTTGTCCTTGTACCCAGTGCTTCCAATCCTCCTCAGATACAGATCATGTCTTGATCCCCAGGGAACATAGAAGAACATATAGCATGTCTGCTGTGTAAAGTCAGTTGAATATATTCACAGTTCCACGCAGGAGGAAGGCTTGCAGGCTCTAGCTAATGGATGCCTTCCAAAACCTTCTTTTGGAATGAAGTGGACCTTTTCCCTTTTGTTCCTCTGGACATGTTAGTCACTTGACAAGGAGAAACCTGGCATCATTAGCAGACCTGTCAGTTAAGCCCAGAGAATGGTAGGGATCACAGAGGAGTGTGTAACGTTGGCAGAGTGATGGGCTAGTTGCATGGTCAGTGCTGACTTCTCACTTGTAAAACCTGCATCGTTTTAGTCAAAAAGGTCTGAAGTGTGGGAAAAATTAACCGTGGAGTTTTACCAATGACTCGGTTTATTACAGCATTTTCGAGATGAGGGGCACAAACAAGACATGCCAGTCAATCACATTTACATTTCTACAAATGTGAGAACTTATTTTATTTTTTCCCCCTTGCAACTCCAGTAGTTACAACAGCACCTGAGCAGGTAGGTTATGAAACCCCATGTGGAAAAGGGCTGTGCCTTCCAGAAGCATGGCAGTGACCTGACAGACGCAGCAGCAGGTTACTGCTTGCATGCAAAGGTGGCATCATCTCTGCATGGTCCGCCTTTCCCCTTGGCTGTCACTTTAGCATCTGCTAAAAAACAGAGCATAACAGAGCAGCTTTTTCCCCAGATATGCCTACAGTCATATATCCAGCTTCTTGGGTTGTTGCCTTTTAGGTAATTTCATTCCCCAGCTTTGAGATCTCCTATGATCTGCAGATGCCCTGGATATTCATGTGTAGTTGGAGTATTGGTTTAGTTGCCTCTTTTAAAATTTTTGTTGGTCTTTGGATTATTTAAATTCAACTCACGGCTTGAAATGCAAGTAACAGGAAAAAATAAAAGCTATCTCCCTTTTGGAGGAGGAAATAAATCCATGTTCATCTCTCTTCTTTGCCCTTCACAAAAAGAAGCGGAATAGCTGAGAGTTCAGTATTAGCATTATTTATATAAGCACATTTTTCCCTGACATCATCACCTGGAGCAAGGTTAATCTTTGCTCACTTTAACCACCAAAGAGGTTAAGCCAGCAGTAAATACACTGGCAGTAAAATAATTTATACCGGTGGAGGCTTCTGAGAAGGTACGTGTTCGATTGCTTTGGGATTTGTCAAAACCATTCTTAGCCAGAAAGGAAATTGTTGACTCACCTGCTTATCATTACTAATGAATAAAATTTATTGAATCACACTATGAACCGAATGTAGAGTGGAACAGGGATTCTCCGTTAGTGAATAGAAACTGTAATCACTTATGGGCTTAAGGCTCAAATGTTTTTTGATGCCTTTGAGTCTCTCTCTCACATTCTGCTAAACTCTGTTCATGGCTTCCACAGGGAAAGGTGAAAAGATTTGGCTCCCACAGGGACAGAAATATGCAGAGAGGGCAAGATTTTCCAAGGTGTGAAAGGACCACAGGAGAGTTTTTTTTTTTTTTCTTTTTCGAGAGGATCACTTGTTTCAACGGAGAGCATTTGACTGCAGCAAAAGGCGCCCAGCAAATGGGGTATGAGGCTTAAATTTAAAATCCAGGCAAGGGCCAAGCAGCAGGGAATTGAAATGGTCGGAGGTGGAGGACTATAAACATGTGTTCAACATGCTTGTTCCCATTAAGACAGGAGCAAACAAGCAGAAAGGTTAGTTTCTTTGATGTCCCGCTTTAAGACGCAGCTGGGCCCTGAGGCCAGTACCTCCGGCTGGCTCTGCTCTCTCTTTGCGACTTAACTGTTTTGCCACTGGCTTTCACATCGCTCCATGGACGTGAAGCAGCATGCGCTCACTGCATGGGTTGGGAGGGGTGGAGGTGGGGATGGGCGCTATGGCTGTATTCGACCCCATTCTGGTCCGGTTGTCTGCTTTGAACCCGACTCCTTCTCTGTCTTGTCTTTGTGATCCAGGAGCTCATTGTTTTTGGTGCTAATAATAAGTCAGGGGGCGCGCCTGGCCAGCCCCAGCTGTCCCCTGGTGTCTCGACCATACGGATGGAGCCCATCTACCCAGGTGTCTAAACACCCACCCTACCATCTTGCAACTGGAAGGGTGCTGGCATCATAGGCAATAAAAGTATACCACAGACATGAAGTATCTGAAGCATACCATAGATATCAGAAGTATACCATAGATGTCAAGAGTCACCATTACCATGACAGTATGAAGTGTAGAAATCTACAATTTTCAATTTGTAATTCAGCTGAATGTCTTGTCAGTACTGTAATTCACTTAGAAATAAATGTTTGCTATTTAGCACATAATGCGTTATACAATTACACAGCCGTGTATTACACTCTTGGCTTTGTTTCAGCTGATTGGTTCGTGCTTTAATGTGATTAGCAGCACTCAAGTCCATCCTCACTCCATACCATCTCACACGTAGTCTGACAGCTGTCTAGGACTCCTCCACTTCCATTCCTCACATGTGCTGCTTTCATACTTACTCCCATTTTCTTCATCTGACATGACAAGTCATTTCTGTGTCTTTGTGGGAGACTGCCCCCCCCGTGACAAAGAAAAATATTTAGATGCGAAACCCAAGGCAGTGAAGCCCCCAGACGTGAATGTGATAGGTTTATGTCCCAGGGAGCTGTAATGAAATTCACACCAGTACTGACTCTAATTTTTGTTAGACAAGGAATTAAGCAAGTTTTACAGAACCAGAAATCTTGTCAGAAAACAGCTTGTTTTGGGCTGCATTGATGGCGGCCAGTCAGAACCATGTCACCTGGTGGTGCTGTTTGTGTGTGATGTCGCACTGCTCTGTATCTGGCACACAGGGCATCACTCTGTTGTTGACAATCATCTTTATCACAGTGCTGGTGAGGTGTTGCAGGCATGCTGTATGTTTTCCTGAAAAGGTTCTTGGTACAGTCTGCATTCTGTACACAGGTCTCGATGCTTAAATTTCACCTACCAGCTCATTTCTGTAGCTGATTCCATTCTCTCCTCTCTCTTCATCAACCGATAGAGGTAGTGGAGAAGACCTCACCGCCCGCCCCTGTGGCCATCCTGCCGTCCAGCGCCAGCCAGGACATTGCCCCCACCCAGCTGGCAGGTGAGACCTTTTGACCCACACTACACCTATGACCCATCAAGCTGTATTGGTGACCTCTTCCCCCTTCCTCTACATTGCATCTTTTCTTTTTATCTATCTCTGCAGCCACATTTATCCCATTTCTCCAGGCACAATGTTGGGAGTCCCAGCTCTTGTGCTCATTTCTAGTCACAAAACAGGAAATGAATAAATGCATGTGTGTCTGGGCAGGTTGTTTACATAGTACAAATTCTATTATTCCTGACAGTACCTGCAGGGGCATTTAACCTGCATGTAAATTCATAGTAAAATTTGATAGATTAAGAGAATTTGCTTCAAATGGAGACTTTACAGTTTCTCTGCTGTCAGTCCCATTGTTGTTGTCTTTGGGAATTGTATCCCATTTGGGGGCTGTTCTGAGCTTCTGTACTTAGGATAGTTTCATTTGGGGGATGGAGGGATTGATAGCTGTAGCAGCTTGGTTTGATTTGCATTCCTGCTTATTAAATAAGCATCAATGGCAGTTGGTCAGAACCATGCCACCTGGTGTCAGCATCTCAAAAATAGGCTGGGTCTGGTTTAAGCAATTTTGAGGAAGTAGCTCAGTCTTGTGTCTGTGTGCTGGAGCTTCCCACTGCTGTTGTCAGGCAGGGGAAAGGCCAGACCACTAATTGGGTGGGACACATGTTTTTATTTGGATGTTCTGGATGGTGCTGCCACAGTCTGAGGCCAAAGAAGGCAGTGGCAGGAAGGCGTGGCTCGGCCAATCATAGGCAACATGGATATTTCTGGCCATTGAGCTCTGGGAGGAAATCCAAAACCCCAGACTGCTTTCTATGTGTGTTTGGCTTTGCGTCTGTGAAAGGTGACACCAAATTAAGTGGCCACAGAAATGTTATGAGGAGCATTGACGAAAGACATTTGGGAAACATAGCCATGGAATCGCGTGTCCTTTTTCATCCAATTAAGAAAGTTGGCCCTGTAATGAGAAAGTCATCCATGTTGTGTCTATGGAAGCCTAATTTAAATATACCCTTAATTACACTTGATGTACATTCCAAAATTTTATGAGGAAATATTAACTGCTGCAACTTAATTGCAGTTGACACCTAGAAAAATGCACTGGCAATAAGAAGAATAATGAGAAAAAGGGATGGACCAAACCATCCATCATCATTGAGAAAAATGGTTCAGCTTTCAGTGAGGCTTCTCCTTCCCAGCTGCCATTTTTGCTTCTGTAATGGAGTCCATTGTGTTCAAGAGCCCCATGGAGGTTTGGTGAGAGTTATTAGCTGAATGTGTGACACTTCGGGCAGGTGAAGGGTTATGAGCTCAAGGAGCCTCTCATCAGGCTTATTATAGTTTTCAAATTTGCATTAGTTTTTATTTTATTTAGTTTTCCATTTTGTATTTCAGTTTTAGTTCAGTTTCTGTTTCTTTTAAGAATGTACAAATAGTTTTGGTTTTTATTTTATGAAAATTTCTAGTTTTAGTTTAGTTTTGATTTAGTATTAATTTTAATTTTCAGTACCATGTTTTGATACCACACTGGAAGGGACATACATGTTTCCGCCATTTACATATACAATAACCACTGTACAACACATTTGTGTGTGTCTGTGAGACAAAGAGAATGGAGAAAATGTGCAGCAGCACTCACTAGATAAAACTTAATCTCTCCTCTCTGGATCAAGGTTATTTACAATATTTTAAATCCTAATGAATGCTTTACCTTTGTTGCAAACCCTGTTGTTGGTCCAGCAGCTGGTTCCCGGCCTCAAAAATTACACCTTAATATGTTTTTTTTAGAGCATATACTGTACTAAACACATCTAAGCACATTTATCAAAACAGTAATTTGTAAAGTAAGAAAATAAATGTATCCATACAATGTGTAAAGTTAAAAAAACAATGTGTCCTGCCCCGATCGTCCGCTCCTTCCGTGTGCCACGCTCCCTCATTAACCCTGTGTGGAATCCCCGTGTGATCAGCTGTTTCTGGTTGTTTTTATTAGCTTTCTGTATTTCGTCCGTGTTTCAGTTTGTTTCCCCAGTCCGGTCATTGTATTGTCCGTCTGCGTTTTGCCTGCCTTACCTGTAATTAAACCCCGTATCCCCCGATACCCTGACGTCTGCGCCTTTGTCTCCATTCCGTCCCCGCTCGGCACGACAATGTTATTATAATTAAATGTATTAAGGGTTTATTATTAATATTAAAATAATGAATAAGAAATCTTTATTTGTAAATGTATTTTATTATATAATAATTTACTGTTACTGTTACTTATCATTGTCTAAATGTATTTTTACTGTCTAAATATATGTATTCAGCTAGTGTAAACATGCACGATGCTATCACAGCGAATGCGAGGCTGAGACTGAAGCTTTGCCCTTTGTTTCCACTGAGAGATGTGCCGTGTGACTCATTTTCCCGTGCGTCCAAGTTCTCTTAGATCGGCGTTCACGGTTTGACTTATGAGATTCAGATCAAGCTATAGGTAATTTTTTTTCTAACTGGTTGGTTCGACTTATAAGAAATTCGAGTCCCAATGAGTTTGAGAACTGAGGTACCACTGTACCTCAACCAGACAAGAAATGCACCAACATGGCGGACGACAGTCTTTGCTTCCTGTGGGTGGTACAGTGTCATGTAAATTGCAACCCACAACCAGAGCGCAAATGAGGGAGTAAAAACAAAAACAGAGCTGATTCTACCTGCATTTCTATTTAGTTTTTCTTTGTGTTGCATTGTTCATTGTATTTGTATTTTTCATTTGACATTTTTATTTTTAGAGAATTACTTGAAAACGTGTATTTTTTGTAGTTTTTTAAAAAAATGTAGCACGATTTACCAATTCCTTCTACCATGGGCACTATATTATACTAACACAAAATGCCCTCAAAGCTCACCTTTACTTCATATCCCTTCACCACTTAACTGCATTACTTGGAAATCGACATTTCTGCAGTCTACGAGACCGACATTCAGTGTGTAATTTTAATATCATTAGAGGAAAACAAAACCACATCCAGAAGCCCAAAGTGGTTCCCTTTTAAATGTTTTTTTCTGAGCAGCTCAAGGAAGTTGTTTAGTTATATTTTTTCTGAACTGTAAAAAGGACGGAGGATATACAGTGGCCACATTGTTCTGTGTCTCTATAACTTATTTGATTACCAGCAGCAGGATCACAGGGCGGTAGCGGCACGCTGCAGAATCTGAGAGTTGGGCCAGTGGGGTGGGCCACATCCAGTGTTGTGTGAATGTGACCTGAGATGTGAGCCCACACTGGGTCTGGAAAGCGGTGGGATGGTGTGTACTAAAAGGATTAGGCTATATTGGAGGGGGGGTGTCTAGGCTGGCTTTGGAGAAAAGTACTGTTCAGTGTGCAAGGTTTCACCTCCAGCTTTGACTGCTGTATAGAATCCAGAGTGAGTCTTGACCAGATTAGATTTTAACTGCCACCACCCCCCCCCCCCCCCCCCCCATCCTTCTGTAGAGGTGAACGAGTGCCTCCTGAGCCCTGATATATGTGGCCCTGGGATATGCTACAACACTCCAGAAGGCTACATCTGTGTATGCCATGAGGGTCACCAGCTGGATGAGGAGAAGACCACCTGCCAAGGTAAAACTGTGCCCCCTTCAACCTGTTTCAACTCTTATTCTGCTCATAGGAATCAGCTAGTCTGATGTACTGGTGCCTCATCATAGTTCTTACCAGACTTACTTACCAGAGCTTTCCTGTACTGCAAAATAAAACGAGGGGAAAATGCAGATGCCTGGATGCATGGGCAGGGCACTTCCTGACAGGAAGCACCATGCGTTGGTCAACATCATGTTTTAACAGACCGGGACACATTTGGGATGGCAATTAGGTTTCTGTGTGTGTTAGTCTTTAGTTTTCTTGCCAATTGGTCCTGGCTTTGAAGCGGTGTCCCCAGAGGGAGGCTGTTTTTTGGAAATGTCACAGTATGCACCATTAGCAAACGCTCAAATAATCGTCTTCCTGATCTGGCATATATAAATATTGCAGACGCAATAATTAGGTGCCCTGCACTGGGTAGGAATGGCCTTTTCTTAATTTCCTGCGAACATAAAGTTTTGCCCATAAAGTTGCATGCTACATGCATGCCTCAGAATATCACCACTGTCCCCACAGAAACACATGCTAGAGAGCGGTGCCAAAGGTACATAGTGGTGAACTGCAGTGATGGGTAATACAATGTTACCTCACTGCTTTAATGAAGTGTTGGGTAGTAGTTTGAGTGTCACCATAAGCTCATGAGGTCATTCAGACATTTTTTGTAATTAAGTTTGATAAATGTTTGAACAAACTGAAAGAGATCTTATGGCTTTAACCCAGACTAGAAGAAGTCTGAGGGTTTTAATCTTGTCTGAAAGAGATCTGAGGGCTTTAAGCTCTTCCGAATTAAATCTGAAGTCTGTGACCCAATCCAAAAGAGATCTGACGGCAATGATCCTGTCTGAAAGAGATCTGAAACCTTTAACCCAGTCTGAAAGAAACCTGAGGGCTATAATTCAGACTGAAAGAAATCTTTGTTTTCATGTTGTTGATGGTAGCATTTTGATGCATGCTTGCAATGAGTGGCATGTCATACAGATTAATAATGGAATGGTAACCCTTCAAAAAGACCAACCCATTATCAGTAGAGTGTATTTGGATGGGTTGATTTTCATTGTAATGTGTCTACTTGATCTGTAGAAAAGACTCTATTAATCTCTATCCAGTCTTTTCCCTCCAGCCTCCAAATGTGCTTCTAATGAGTAGCAATTGTTCAGCCCTCAGTTGCACTACTTCTTTAATTAGCATCATTTAAATGTGAAAGTTGCCAGGATGTTGGGGAAACAAAATTGTCTGCCTAGAAAATGCTGAATTAAAATGCCTTTTCTGGTTTGTCCCAGTTCTGTGTGACCATTTCAAGCAACTTTTACTGGACTTGTCAGGCCCAGACAAAGAGCTGATTTCTCTGCCTATAGAACAGACTTATTTGTCATTAAAAACACTGAAGAATTACTGGCTGAAATGAGGGGTAGCTTGTTAAACAGCCTAGCACACAGTACAGTGGTTTTCCTCTCCAGACGACAACCTCTGGAAAGCTGGCAGGAAATCAGACAAGGCCCAGAGGACATGGTGGGCAATGAAAGCAGCTGCTCAGTGCAAAGGTCGAATCTGGGTGCCAGTATTGGGCAGAGGAGCTATTGATCAGTCTGGTGGGAACTGAGAAGATTTCCCCTGATGCACTGGTGCTGGGTCAGAGGTCTCACAGGAAGACAAGGGCCAGTAACACTTCCCATGATGTATCAGAATTGTTATGAGCTAACTCAAAGGGAGTTAATCATTAACAGGCAGTCTTGCTTTGCAGGCAGGGTTTGTGAATGGCAGCCAGAGTTTTTGAATGGCAGTTGGTGATGGTGGCCACCCAGCTGCTAGGTGAAGGAACATTTGACAGCAGACATGCTGAATGTTCCCTTTCTGTTCCTTGCAGATGTGAATGAGTGCCAAGACCCCAATGTCTGCGGCCAGGACAGCCTCTGTGTCAACACACCAGGTTCCTACACCTGTGAACAATGTCCAAACGGTTACAGGATGAGCCACATGGGCCGCTGTGAAGGTACTGGTATTAAAGTGGGCCTCGTTGTCTTGGTACCTGTAATCAAAGAGCTGATGGAAAGCCTATAAAAGTCTTTTTTGGTACCGTTTCCAAACATGAAGCAATCTGTATAATATACCATTATTTTCAGGGACTGTTCACTTGTATACTCTTGTTTTTAATATATTTGCTGAGGAAAAGAAAGTATATGGTGCAAAACAGGGAGAAACATGGAAGGTGCGCAATTTAGTAACCTTGCTATACCTTTGTTCTGCCCATGGTGTACCCTGGACTTCAATTTTATTTGCCATTGGTGTACCCTTAGCCTACCCTTGGTGTACCCTTGGTGTACTCTTAGTGTACCTTTGGTCTGCCTTTGGTGTACACTTGACCTACCCTCGATATTATGTACTCTGAAATCCTCCTGTCTTGCAGATATTAATGAATGCTTGGACCCTGATATTTGCCCAGCTGGGATGTGCACCAATACCCTTGGGTCCTTCATTTGCGACCCCTGCCCTGAAGGCTTTGAGGGTCGCGGAGGCCTTTGTGTTGGTACGTCACTGAGATTCCCTGTCAGTACCTAAGCTCACTCATCAAACGGTTAGGCTATCTTCTGTGTTTAATTTAATGATTTATTTTATGTAAAATATTGGGTGGTGTGTATACCTGTCACCAGAAGGTTCTCATATCTCATATCTGGCATTTCACTAGTAGGTCCTTGAGCATGGCTCCATTAATCCCAATTGCTCTAGGGACCCTGGCTGACCCTACTCTTTCACTAGCATGTCGCTTGGATAAAAGCATTTGCTAAATTAACAAGTTAAATTCATTTTCAATTAAATCGGAACTGGAAAAGTGTGATTGCTGCGTGTGTGTTTGTGTGTGTGAAAGTGAGAGTTTGTTTATGTGTGTGTGTGTGTGTGCACAGTGGAAGCTCTACCAGTGCATGGATCTGCTTATTAAGGTCTAGCAAGGTAGGACAATGTCCTTTGGATGGTCATTGCTTTAGTCCAACACAATTCTGCAGGATGGAGCCCAGCCCAGAGTTTGTAGACCTGATGCTCAGGGGCAGGGGCTCAGGTCTGTACTGTCTTGTCTGTGCATTTGTAAGTGTGTTTGTGCAGCCCCAGAATGGACTAGCCCCATGATCCAGACCAGCAGCCACACTTTCAGAGCTGAGGAATTCTAAAATTCATGTCTGGTGTTCTCCATGACAATGCATGTAAACCCAAAGGGGGAGGTTCTGTGGAATCATATATGTAAAGCAGCGCAGGGTCTTTAACTATGGGCAAAAATAACATATTACGTAATATGGACCGTTTGCTTTATACTAGCTCCAGTCGGCATAAAACTGAGCCCATGACCTTTGACCTTTTCATTGCTTATGTTACTGTGTAACTAGCATTTTGGGGGTAGGTGCCATATGCTGGCAGTGGTTGAGAACACAAGGCACACCAGACGCTCCAGAGCTCTAGTCATCGTTCCACAGTACATCCCAGCTGAATGAAAACCCCACCGAAACCAACTCCAAGCGTTCAGATGATTACAACAAGGTGCTGGACTTTCATGATGCAGTCAAGAGAAGGCAAATTAAGCTCATATTTATGACCTGAGACAGACGCAGTCCAGACAGTTCTGTAGATTAAGGCTGTTGGTGAGGCCCTGTACTGTTCTTCTAATTTGTAAACATGTCTCAGGCCCGCATTTTTTGAACTTATCCAATGGTCAAGAATCCCCACCATTTTATTGGGTCCTCTGACAGATGCCCCTCTGATCTCTGACCAGATATCGACGAGTGCCGGGACCCTAGCATGTGCGCCAATGGCAACTGTGCCAACCTAGAAGGCTACTTCCTGTGTACCTGTCACAGCGGATATGAGTTGACAGTGGATGGCAGAGCATGCACAGGTACCGTTTATGGGGGGCAGGGTTTTAAAAAGCAGTCCCAAAACTGGAGTCACAGATTCAAAGCAAAAGACTCCCAGTAAACTTCACTTTATTCATAAAGCCACAGACTGGAGGTATAGTGACAAACTAAATATGGCACCTTTGGTGCACAGGTTAATGAGCAGGAGCATAACTCACAGTTCAGCACAGTGTCTGTGGTCCCTGCTGTGCCTGTCTCAGGGTCTCAGCCATCTAATGGCCTGCTGGGAGTTATGCTGAATAAAACATACAATTCCACAAATACTGACAGAAGTAGTAAAAACTTAATGACAGTGACATGCAACGCTTTTGCTTTGGGGGTCTCGTACTGTGAGGACTACCCAGTTTGTTTTCATGCTTTTCAATATCTTTTTTGACACCCTTGTGGGTTTTGTGCTTAAGAGTTGCATCGTAGACATGTTCTGGCATGCTTGCTGCCTCCTGCTCATGGCCAAATACTGTTCCTATGGAAACAGACATGGACGAGTGCCAGGATGAGAAGGTATGTGCCATGGGTCACTGCCAAAACACCAAGGGCTCCTTCGTGTGCAGCTGCAGTCCCGGGTTCAAGCTCTCTCCTGCTGGCAACCAGTGTGATGGTAAGGTCTCTGTGGCGAGTGGGTCTTGGTGTCACCAAAGTTTGTGTTAGTGGTATAGTAATGCAGGATTATAGTGATGATAAGTGTCCATTGTTATACAGAAGTTTAGCCTGATCCTAGAGTCAGATACATTCAGGGTTCTAGCCCAGACTCGGCACCGAGACTGTTGAGATTGTTTTGTTGTATTTTGTGTAGGACTAATCTAAGGAAGGGCAGCCTGTGAAGAGATGCTTACTAGTGATGGGGACTGACCTGTGGAGAGGGGTTATACCTGTAGGGAGGCTAACCTATGAGTACACTTTCAGATGTGGACGAGTGCAAGGAGCTGCTGCAGGCCTGTGGGGGTGTGGCTGACTGCAGGAACAGCCTGGGCTCCTATTTCTGTGTGTGCCCCCCCGGCTTCCATCTGTACAACAGCACCCACTGTGAGGGTGAGGGCATACATCTGCGAGCACATACGTGTGAACACACACATTAATTGTCACACTATACTGTACCTATGCCCACTTGCACCCCTTCAGGCAAGTGCATTTACCTGTGACCCATGAATCTTTTCCACCCCTCTAGACGCAGACGAGTGCGTGGATGACCCAGAGCTGTGTGGTCCTCAAGGCACATGCATGAACAACCAAGGCTCCTTCCTTTGTGTCTGCAATGCTGGCTTTGCGACAGACTTGGACCCCCACACCTGTCAAGGTTTGCCTATACCTCCTTTCCATGGTGGTGTTGGACTTGCTGGCTCTTGGCCACAAACCTCCTAGATATGTGAATTCTGTTACTCCAGTGTTGGTGTGTCAGTAAATTATCCTCCTTGGTGTCTGTCGCTGCATTATCCACATGCTGCGAGTGGCCGCCACACATTGGCGGTGCTTGAGACAGAATGCCCTATGTAAATGAGCACTGGTGTCCCTGAGTGCATTATCTGTCCTGCTCTCTCCGGGTCCCTGGCTCTCTGCATAAGGGAGTTTATAACGGGGCTGATGTTTTGGATTTGTCTCTGGAGGGGGAGGGTTATGTTTAATGACTTCCCCATCTGCTCCTTCTGTTTTTCCACCGGGGACCTGGGCCAGGACCCTCCCCTTGTGCCAGGGCTGCTGTAAATGCCCACTCCCGCCACAGAGAAGATGTGCGGAGGAAGTGTTCAGCCAGCTGTCTAGACGCACAGGAAGACAGCCGCTGCTCTCTTTGTGCTAACGTCTCCAATGGCTCGGGCGTGCTGTGGAACCCTGCCGGCCCCTTACCTCTGGGTTTGAGGGAGCTAGATTAACCTTTCCGAGTTGAGGACAGTTAGCTAAATGGCAGTTTTATTCCTGTTATTGACAATATACAGCTATACTGTCTTCTTATAGTCATATGGGTCTGACAAGGAACCCAGATGTGGAAATGTCAGACAAGAATAGCAATGTTTGTTTGTTAATTCAAACGCCAGGGTTTCACCAGTAGGTGGCATAGCAAAATTGGGTTCTGAGCACAGAATACAGAACCATGGCTAACAAAGAAAGAGGGCAGAGATGAGAAATCCCCCATCCAGTTGGATTGTTCAGACCAGACACCACAGGGACTCACAGCAGAGGAGAGTAAAAGCTGACATGTATCAACTCTGGTATCATTTCTGGATGTTTTAGGACGGGGAATGATAGTTTTGATTCTGTCCTATTTACTCAGAACAGATCACTGTATTGGGGTGGCATGGTGGTGCAGTGGTGGCCTCACACCTTTGGGACCAGGGTTTAAGTTTCCACCATGGCTCCATGTGTGTTGAGTTTGCATGTTCTCCTTGTGTTGGCATGCGGTTTCCTCTGGATACTCTGGTTTCCTCCCACAGTCAAAAAACATGCTGAGGTTAATTGGAGTTACCAAACTGCCCGTAGGTGTGCATGTGGAAGTAAATGGTGTGTAAGTATGCCCTGCGCTGGGTTGGCACCCCATCCTGAGTTACTCCCTACCTTGAGGCTGTAGCCTTCGGAATTGGCTCTGAACCCCCCGTGACCCTGTTACAGAAAATGGATGGATGGTGATCACTGTTTATGTCCTCTTGTCATCGACCCTTTGGTTCAGTCTGGATTGTCTGTCTATACTACAATCCAATCTGATCAGAGGGATCATGGGTTATTTTCTTGTTAGGCTAGCTTCTTTCAAGTCATCAAATTGTTTTGTGAGACGAGAATCGGGTGTCTCTGCTGTTTGCTATTCTGGCTTTGTTTTACATTTTGTCAAAGATGATCGTTGAAGCTAATTAAAATCCTGAGCTGGTTTTCAAATGAAGTGATTTGATGTGGTAAGAGCTGTGATGTGGCGGATTGTAAACAATATATCTTTCTCTGGGTTCAGTTGCTGGTGCTGTCCGGCCTGGTTCAAGTTCTTGGTGAGGGGCTTTGTAAATTATTTTTTGTGATTGGAAATCCTCTATCACCCCTTAACCAGTAAAAGGCCAATCACCAGCTTTTATCCAATGTTTAAAAAAAATGACATTTTTGCTGTGGTTTACATCTTCAGTAATCGGTATCATATACAGCCATGGAAAAAAAGTAAGAGACTACTCCATATTTTTAAACAAATTTGTATTTTTAAATCCTGGTTTAATTGTGGTTCTGTTGGCAAAAGGCTACGCTGAGCAGCAGGTTGCTTCCAGAAACAAAATTTCTAAGAAAGCAGTACACAAGAATAAGGTGAAGCAGGAGACACTGGGAATGACCAAGAGCCAGCCAGGTAAAGGGCAGAAGTGATATTCTAATGCCAGAGATGACGGTTATCTGACAGCTTCTCATGAATCGAAAGATGACATCAAGTGACCTTCAAAACAATTGGAAAACATTAAGTGCAGGTGTGACGTGCACTGCTAGGATAGTTTGTATCAGGCTCCTAGAAGCAGGACTGAGGTCCCATAAAGCAAGAAAGAAGCCCTTCATTAATGAGAAACAGGGAAGAACCAGGCTGCAGTTTGCAAAAAATATGTATTATTCACAGAAGCACACCCATAAATTGAAAAATGAAAAATGAGTGAAACAAAAAATTGTGCTGTGGTCTTTAAAATTTTTTCCAGGGCTGTAGAGCACTCACTGTGAAATCATCATCCATTTTTATTTCATCATATTTTATTTAGTCATTATTTATTTATTATTTTAATTTATTCATTTATTTACTCTAATGAGTTCATGTTAGTTAGTTTCTTTTGATAATTTGAAGTAGAATAGCCACTCCTACCCCACCCAAATAGTCTGAGTACTAACTTGTGTCACCACATTGTCACCACATGTTCCTGTATGTTGCACTATTTAGCCCTGGGGTGCATCAGCTTATCTTCATTGGAGCCCCCCTTTATGGGATGTAAACCCAGAACCTTTAGGTTATTAGTCAATGCAATCTAGACCCATGACCATATGCTGCAGTGTCTGCTCTGCCTTTTAGCTGCACCAGTCTGGCTACAGGGCCGCCACAGAAGGATGTGCTGACCCCTATGGGTTTGTGTGTCTTGCAGATGTGGACGAGTGCTCGGGTGGAATCCGCTGTAGCAGTGGCTCCTGCATCAACACTGAAGGCTCCTACCACTGCCAGTGCGAGCAAGGCTATCGCCTGCAGGTAGACAACAGCACTTGCCTGGGTAAGCTCTAATTCCCAGCATGCTGTGCTCATACAGGCAATGGCGTTTGCTACTGGACCTGTGTAGTAAAAACCTGTTTAGGTTTTATTTAGATATTTACATATGAGATCAGTATGACATAAATGTACTTTCTCTGGGTAAAAAGGCTTCTAGCAGCAGGCCTGGTTCTGGGTTGTGTTGTCTGTTCACTGTGCCATCCAACACCTGACTCCTGTGTTTCCACACAGATGTGGATGAGTGTGAGGAGTTTGGGCAGAATATTTGTGAGGGGTGGCGCTGTGAGAACACTCTGGGCTCGTACCGATGCAGGGCCGACTGCCCCCCAGGCCACCGCCTGGGGCATCATGGAGGCTGTGAGGGTGAGTGCCCCCCCCAACCCACTTCACTGCGTTGCCCATCTCCTGTAAATCGAAATGCCCTTTTGCTGCAATTACGTATCAGCTTCATTAGAACTATGTGGATCACTTCAGAAGCTAGATCCATGAGTGCTTGGGTGCGAGAGGCATCAATCCTGACATCGGCTAGTGGTTGAGTGTGAGCTGAGATCACATGATTCGTGGCATCATATGTGGTAAAATAAAAAGTAGGATTTGCCCCCACTGTCCCCAGCTGGCCATCGTTGTTTAGGTGAGTTAAGGTAACGCTGCAGTTCCCATCAGATGGCATTAGATGGCATCTACCCCACTGGCTTAATGAGCTGAGCTTCTGTCTGGCTCCCTGGTAGTGATAGTCAGATAAATTACAAATAAATATAACAAATTACCCTTGGCACTTTAAGAAAATGCCATTGTAATGTTGCCTTTTTAATTGCCTGATTTCTCCACTTGTTTTATACTGAATTATTAATAAGTACAGAAAAACATGTTGATAGGGGACTTGGATCACACCCAAAACATGCTACCCTAAGTTAGGTTTAGCTGCGATCCTGTTACTGTACTGCTTCCATAATCCACACATATCCAGAGCAGCTCAGCCTTCCAAAAACCTCCATTAGTCTACTAGGAAAACTGCAGTTTCCATGAGGTCTGGCTCTCCATGTTCGCTGGTGGTGGCCCAGCTGCTGGCCTCCAACATGCCATGTGCTTTCCATCCTCTGTGGTGCCTTGTGAGTAAAAAAGTAATGCCAGATAGCTGGAGGCTGTAATGACATACAACCTGACCCACCATCAGCACTGCAGCCTTGTAGCATCTGCATCTGCTTTGTAGAGTCTGTGCAATGAAATGCTGTGTTATTTAGTATCTCCAAGGAGGCTGCTTCCTGTTGCATGGCCTTGACGCTGGCCTGGGGCTTTCTGAACTAACCCTTTTCCACTGGAAAATTTGTGGAAAAGCACAGAAGAAAGATGATTCTGTCTTGTTCAACAGCCTGAAGATACCTTTTGTGCAAGCAGCCGGTGGGCCAGTTAGCCTTGTTCTTGACCGAACCTACATCGGGTGCTTGAATCTTTGTTCAAATTAATGTGACGCAGCCTTGTTCTTGTGCTAAGATTTCCATTTGCTCTTGAGCCACTCCACCTTAGAGTAAGTTTGGTTTACCGTGCATCGTGGCTTTAAAAAGCACCCCGAGGACCATTATAGCACAGAAAACATCATGAGAACACGGCTGGTGCTTTTTTTTCCTCATGGCGGTCCTCTGTCCCTCCACCTGGAAAATAAACAGACACACAGAGCACACTCACATTTATGAGTACTTGAGGAATCAACAGGGGAGCAGATACAAGCATCCTATGCACATAAACAGCAAAAAAGAAACAGAGAAAGAAAATCTGTCAGGCTTCCACCTCACACTCACCACACTGATAGTACCAGCATACCCCCTCCCCCCTTCTCCAAACACCCGTGTGAGGAGCTGAATCCATTCCCAGACAATGATTGATGCCACCATTTATTGTCATTCCCTTTAAAGCCTGTTGGAGGGGGGGTTAATGTTTTAAACATAACCCCAGTGTCTGTTGCGCTCTTCTGCCCCATGATTGTTTCTGAGTGGTGCGACACGAAGCCAATAGATCACAGCACTTTATCTGGGCTGAAGCAGACTGAAGATTCAGAGCCGCCAGCAGATATCTCTGTAGGCTTCCTGCTACAACTGGCCCATGTCTCTCAAAGATTACTGACACACAGGTAAAACCTCAACATGCTCCATCTGGCGTGGTCAATGGCCCCTTTCAGAAGATATCAGCTGTAGCCTGAAATGAGGAAACACAAGCAAGAAAGGCCTGGAGCTGTTTGTCTTGTAGTTTCTGTGGACAGGGCTTCCATCTTTTCCAGTTTCCTTTTTCAAGAAGGCAGGCCACAGTAGCCAGCAGGTCCTATGTGTGTGATCCTTCTGGAGCCGACTGAACTCCACCACTTCCGTCTTATTTGGTAAACCTGCTTGCAAGCCTCAGCTCAACCATGTTTCTCCCTTCATAGAATGAGCCTGTCCCAAGCCCTGCCCAGTTTTACACAGCCCCAGCAAACTCCAGCCACCTCCAGAACCACAGCCAGATCTTCACCTTGTGTCATACAACCTCTCCAGGCACATCTGACCTTGCTTTGCTGCATCACCCGGCTTCTCAGATCTGCTACAGATGTTCTAGAGATGTTCAGTTCTTTTGTTCGACTTCATGCTAGGGAGCTTTTTGTGGTTCTGGCCCACTTAGGGTTGTTACACGGTTCTGATATTTTTAATATCAGTACATGTGTGTAAGTGTTTGTTCAGCTGAGATTACTAATGTGTCAACTCTGAAATAAGATTTGGTATGCCCCCGCAACCCAACGGCACCCTCTGTCTGTATAAGACTTCCATTCTCATGACGGTGTGAAATCTGTCGATTTACCGAATCATGATGCCTATGGTTGCACAGCAAGACGCCACTTACCAGCAAACAAAAGGTTTTCTTCTCAGACAGGAGACATGGTTCCTGGGCTGGACACCGAGCTGAGTTTTGATACAATCAGTGCTCTGAGACGGCAAGGCTCGGTGCCAAGGAATCTGGACAGCTTCTGGCTAATAAAACCAGAGGCGGCCTGGCCATATCCAGTGATTTATGGGTGTTCAGCTACCACCTCATCAAGGCTTTGGGGTCTCGCTTCTTTTTTTTCCCCTCTGGATGAGTAGTAACGTGGTGTCGCTACAGCACTTTGACACTCCTTTGCTGGCGCATAAAACCATTCCATGCCTCTCCTGGGAAACATGCCGGGTGGCTGCTACGTGTGTTGTTTTCATGGTTCAGAGACGATAAGGAATTACGACCTTGGAGCTTTTACACAGCCTGAGAAGGGTGTGGGGTGGGGCTGTGCTTGTTTATGGCTGCTAGAGCAAAGCCTTCTATTCAGAGCCTTCATCTACCATCAGCATGTCCCTAGTTTCACATTCAGACTTTTGGTCTTGAGTAGGGATTTGAAACCTTGAGCATTAAGGTAGCAATGAGCTAACAACCAAATTGCGTGCTCTAAATCTGGACAAGATTCCCCTCGGCTCTTGAGTGATGGTGCATTGGTGATGAATAATAATGTGCAACGGGCTGCATGCTTCCCTGTTGCTGCCTTCACAGATGTGAACGAGTGTGAACTGTTCAGCGGGCTGTGTGGCGAGGCGGTCTGCAACAACCTGGAGGGGTCCTTCCAGTGCGTGTGCCCCAAAGAGAATCAGGAGTACGACCAGATGACAGCAAAGTGCAGGCCTGCCCCCGCAGGTACGTGCCCCTTCTGACTGCATGCCATGATGTCATGAGATGGGGATGTTAGCTGTGGGGCCAAAGAAGACCCAGAGCAATCCTGCATGCTATCCTGATGGGAAGCAATGTGGGAAGCAAGCACCAACATTGGCCCCCCAGGGAGGAATTTTGCTTGTGCATTATTTTTAGGTTGCACAAACATTTCCAGACAGCCTAGTCTCCTGTGATTTCAGCCAAAGAAAATGTGTAAATTGATTTTGCTGTTAAGAAATGGGCAGGTGTGAGCTTTGCTCGTCAGACAAATTGTGTAGTACTGCCCCCTACAGGTCCATAATGTAGTTGATTAGTAAGACAACAAATTATTAGTGACACTGGGCATGCTCAGGTGTGGGATTTTTTTTTAAAGGAAAGACTGTGTCCAAATGTTAGCAAAGTTTAGGTGTTCCTCCAAAAGGGGCAGTTGCAGACGAATCATGGCTGATCTGTAATTATCAAGAGAGATTTATGGTGTAGAGAACACAATCTGACCTAAGAAATGGGGTGTGGTGGTACCTTAAGTCTCCAGGTATATAATTAACCAGATGTTTTCCCTTAAGCCACAGGCTGATTCCATTTATCTCACTTGCATTCATAGTGCCCTTCAGCTGGAGTTGTGACTGACACAGATCACTGATCATGTGAATTGGCAGTCACCAGCCTTTTTAGATAGTTCCAGTAGCCTTAGTTATCCTGGCTGCTTTATGGAATTCTTATACTGACCTGTTGGGGCTCATTACATACTGAAACATATTCTGACTGGCTATTCCTGAAGCCACTATAAGTGTGTAGGAAATCCTTAGGTAGTCCAGAGTGAGGCACTGTGGATGTTCTCTGACTGTCTGCCTGCCTGCTGCCGGATCTCTAGCCACCTCAGTGGAGCGCAAAGAGTGCTACTATAACCTGAACGACGAGAAACTCTGTGACAATGTGCTGGCCAGCAGCGTGACCCTGGAGGAGTGCTGCTGTACGCTGGGGGCCGGCTGGGGGGACAACTGTGAGGTGCACCCCTGCCCTGTGGAGGGCACCGGTGAGTCTCTCACCCCCCCACCTCATCTATGTGACTCTATCTGGCCAAGCATCACATTATCTTATTATGTATGGAGTAATTTGTTGCTAATAAGCCAGACATGGTTATATGACCCACGGAATGCATCTAAACTGTCCACTTGTCCTTTTGCTTTCAAAAAACTCAGATATAACATTTTGTTTTAAAAAATTGATATAATTCAGGTTTTATTTTAAAAAGTGCATTAAATAATTAGTAGGTATTTTTTCATGATTGCTCATCACTATACTCTTAATGATACTTCAAGTTACGCAGGCACGGTTGCCCCCACCCCCGGTTCTGTGGTCCATGCTTGGACTCCTTAATTTACTGAATGTAAAGTAAGGGAATCTAGGTATTTGAAATCAACAAGGCTTTAACACAGCAAAACATGTAAATGAGTATACTGTGAGAAACTTCAGGAAGTATGGAATGAACATTTTATTCTCTCTAATCTCCTCTGAGTTTCAGCCCAGCTGGTTTAAATAGTGGGCTAATAAGTTTTTTTAATATAGTCCAGATAGGCATCATTAAGCAGGAAATTCCCTCGAAACTGCATGAAAATGGCCAGTCCTTGCATTTAGCAGCTCCACGGCCTGATGTTTTTATCTGGAATTGTTTTGATGACACCATTTAGTGAGGTTTCACCCATGAGCAAAGCAACCTGCCCCTTGTGGTTTAATATGGTTTTCCATCCTCAACAGACCAGTTTAAGCGGATGTGTCCAGGTGGGAAAGGAAGTGTCCCCACCAGTAACGTGGCTGGAGCAGGGACATCACCCAGCTACAGAGGTAGGCAGGGACCCCACAAGGCAACCGCCTAAATGTTTCAGAAATAACCAGGAGAATATTACCCACATGATTTACTATAAAACATAAATATAGTAAGCTAAGGGGTAGCCTCTTGTGTCTGCCAGACGCTGACGAGTGCGCCCTGTTCAGCCAGGAGGTCTGCAAGGGCGGCTTCTGTCTGAACACGCCGCTGGGTTATGAGTGCTACTGCAAGCAGGGCCTCTTCTACGACGACGTCAAGCTGCAGTGTCTCGGTGAGTCGCATTCCGGATCACGTCAGGCATCTGTTGCTGCTGGCCCATCATCGCTCAGCCAGCGCCAATTGTAGAACTGCCCTGGCAGCCTATTTCTGAGGTTCAACCAGTCTGGATTGGCTATCCCCTGAGTCTGGGGAGGTGGGGTGCGAGATGTGGGGCGCCATGACGTGTCTCTGACCACAGACCTGGGGCTAGGTGGATACAGGAGCCAGAGCTGCTCCGGCAGGATGCCGTAGGGTGGTTGGGGGGGAGGGGGGAGGGCTGGTCGGTGGCCACAGTCCTACTGCATGTGCGCTGTGGGCTTGGAGCATGCAGAAAACCGCTGACCATGGGTCAGACGCGGAGGTGAATGTTTTTCTAGGTCTGGAATGCTGAATTGCTTTGGATATCACAGCCGGCCCTGTGTGCCGTAGAGATGCACCTGGCCAAAATCCGAGAAGCTCTGTCTGCACGCTGCATGATGCGTTTAACTTTGAAAGCCATGTAGGCATAGTTGAAAATTAATTCATACAAATCCCTGGACCCCCTTAAATGGGTGGAGACCTCAACCCCTGCAAAGCTCAGCCCAAAGTTCTGCATAAGAGTGACATTTTTGGTGGGACAGAAACCCCCAGCATTCATATATGTTTTGATTTTGTATAGCACCGTTTCCATGGCTGGGTTAGCCCTTGCAACCCTATCCATTTTTAAGCTTTTTTCTGTCCCTTTGATTATAGGCTTATTACATTGTATGTACATGATTCAGCCATATATGCTTTATGGTTACATTCTGGGCTTCTTAAACATGTCATAATTTGATGTGTAAATGCCAACATAGTCTTGATATCCTTTTTATGAGGAAAAACTGCTTGCGCTTATTGAAATTTCTCCATATTTAATCTTATCTAATATAAAGACTACAAACATCTTATCAATGTTGAGATTAGAGTCTCAGTGGCTTAGTATTGTGAAGGAATACATGGTTAGTGCCAGGCAGAAATTAATAGCCTATCTTTGATTTTGCATTCATTTGGTAACTTGTTGAAGTTATCTGATAGACAGCAATGCATGGTTTTATATATATATATTTAGTACTTTATAACATCTGAATGAAATTGAAATAGAAAAGCGTTCTTTAGTTTATGATCCACTGGATAAACATTCAGTCTAATGCTGAATGTTTAACATTTTTCCACCTATATACACTATGATATAGTGAAATCTGAGAATTAAACTTTTAGTCTGAAACAACAAATCAACACTGTAGCACGTCATTGTGTTTGCATGTGGGAGGTGTTCCACTTACACAATGGGTGGTGCATTCTATGTGAACTGTTTTGTGGGAGCTCAACATCAAACATACACGTGCAAACTTTTGTGAATAAATATTACGAAAATATCAAGTAATTCTCTTCCTAATAAATAGATTGCTGGATTTTGTTATTATTTCTAGTAGAAGTCCAGCCAATTTTTGAGTGTTTTTCTATCCCTTTATTTCTAGGTTTATAATAAATAAATTATAAAACAAATATTTTCCCCCAGAAGAGTAGTACATGGATCAGTGTGGAAGTAAATATGCACTTTGTTTTCCATCTAATGTGAATAATATTGATGTCCTATGGATTAATTGGGGTACGTTTTGGTGGAAAATATTTAAAATATATGCCTTGTTACGTGTGCACAGGATTACTCTGGGATACATTAGTGCACTACATTGCAACCTGGATGACCGGACTCTCAGTCCTCTCAATTCCAGCGATATGCAATTCATGTCTGTGCGTTATACCTATCCAGAGTTACAAGCCTGAGATTAATAGGTGCGAAAATCAAAGCATTTTGCATTTGTCGGGTTCTATGAGTTAGGGTTAGACTCATTAGAGCAATGGGCAGATAGGACATAGCACTGGGGTAGTTTTCCTTTTGGACCAAGGCATCAATTTTAGGATGTTGCTCTTGGTTTCTGATCTGGTTCTTGAATCCAAAAATATGTAACACCCCTGCGCCCTTCTGTAGACATCGATGAGTGCCTGGACACAGAACTCTGTATGGGAGGCAAGTGTATCAACATGCCGGGCTCATTCATGTGCTTCTGCCTGCCCCCCCTGGAGCTGGACCACACCCAACAGCGCTGCGTGTCCTCGTCCCCTCTCACATCTCGGCCCCCCACCGTGGCTCATCACGGTACGTACATTATGTGGCAATTCCCAAACTTACAGAAAGGAGTGGTCAAGAGCAGATGATGATCTCTTTGGATGTTTGAATCAAAAACACGGAATTTAAATACAGCATATCCTACACCTACCCAAAAGAATTACGATGATAGAAGAACTCAGTATGGTCATAGTTTTGAACAAAAAGTGTCTGTAGTAATGAGTGTGTGTGTGTGGATTGTGTTTATATTGCATTATCCTCCAGCATGTACTAAAAACCAGTTATTTTGATGTTGTAGGGACCATTTTTCAGGTCCCCACAAAGATCTGTGAATGCAATAAAAAAAAAAACGAAAAATGCCTCGTATTTTGTTTGGTTACTTATGGTTAAGGCTAAGGCTGGGTAGGGGTTACGGACATTGGGATCAGAGTTTTCCCCATGGAAATGAATGGAGAGTCCCCACAAAGATATAATTACAAATCTGTGTGTGTGTGTCTGTATCTGTGTGTATCTCTGTGTCCATACTCCAGAGTCACCAGAGATGGGGGAGATCTTCCAGAGCATCTGCTGGCAAAAAGTGACCCGGACACTGACCTGTGGCGGCCCCATGCTGGACAGGCCAACCACCTACACTGAGTGCTGCTGCTTATACGGCGAGGCCTGGGGCATGGAGTGTGCACTCTGCCCCCGGGTGGACACTGGTATGGCTTCACATCCCCCCCCCTGTCCCACTGTTCTTCTGGAATGTCCTCTTTCAGGTGACTGTGTAAAACCTTACAGTACAGAACACTTGTGAACTCTGTCAAAGGGACACTGTGGGCTCCATTTAACTAATGTTTAATTAGCTTCATAATTTAATGTTTTATATTTTCAGCATATCTTCAGAGGTTCTTTGAAGAGCAGTCAGTGTTTCTCAGGACTTTCAGAGTTCCACATTGTCCAACCGGCCAAGAGGTTGCAGATTTTCACATGGTCACTGATAACCACCCCATTGAGCCCTGAGGCTGACCTTGCCCATTGTTCACACAAAGAAGTACAGTGGTACCTCAGTTCTTGAACTCATTAGAACTCGAATTTCTTCAAATTTGAATCAACCAGTTCGAAAAAAATTTACCGAGAGCTCGATCTAAATCTCAGAAGTCAAACCGTGAACGCCGACCTAAGATAACTTGGATGCGCGGGGAAATGAGTCACGAGGCACGTCTCTCAGCGGAAATAAAGGGTAAAGCTTCAGTCTCATCCTCGCATTCGCTGTACGTGATAGCACCGTGCATATTTACACTAACTGAATACATATATTTAGACAGTAAAAATACATTTAGACAAAGATAGACAGTAACAATAACAATAGTAATTATTATTATATAATAAAATACATTTAAAAATAAAGATTTCTTATTCATTATTTTAATATTAATAATAAACCATTAATACGTTTAATTATAATAATATTGTTGTGCCTAGCGGGGATGGAACGGAGACAAAGGCGCAGACGTCAGGGTATCGGGGAATACGGGGTTTAACTACAGGTAAGGCAGGCAAAACGCAGACGGACAATACAGTGACCGGACTGGGGAAACAAACTGAAACGCGGACGAAATACAGAGGGCTAATGAAAACAACTAGAAACAACTGATCACACGGGGATTCCACACAGGGTTAACGAGGGGGCGTGGCACACGGAAGGAGCAGACGATCTGGGCAGGATACATTGTTTGTATACATTTATTTTCTTACTTTACAAATTACCATTTTGATAAATGTGCTTAGATGTGTTTAGTACAGTATATGCTCTTCTTGTTTTATCCGGTCCATTTTGTGTTTAAATGCTAAAAAAACATATTTAAGTGTAATTTTTTTGCGGCCGGGAACCAATTAATTGGTTTTCCATTATTTCTTATGAGGAAAATTCCATCACAACTCAAACTTTTTAGGATTCGATCCGGAGTTCTGAACGGATTAAATTCGAGTTCTGAGGTACCACTGTACTTTGACATTGACCTGTGGAACAGGCAGAGTTTAGGCCTTCACGGTTACAAGTTTTGTCCAGTGAGAGCATGAGTTAAGATTGATTAGTGAGCCCTGCTATCTGCCCGTTCTTTGGTCTGCTAATGCACAGGTCTTCATGATCACGACCGGTCTGGTGCACTTCCTGTGCAGATGGCCTTGTGGGAAGAAGAACTATAAGCAGGCAGGGGTTAGCAACGCTGAGAACCAATCCCAGACCAATCCCGGCTAACAGGCTGTACTTCATGTCTCTTACTGTATATAGCCTTAGAGCGAAGGTCATCGTGCCTTTTTTAGGCGTCACTTTTAACAAGTGACTGGAACCCACTACATCATCATTCCTTTTCAGAGACTGAATTACGCAAATTCTGGTCCAAGTCAAAGAAGTTTCTGGTGTCATGTTTATTTGTCCTGCAGGCCTCTTGACGTGCGGCTTTGTGCCTAATGAGTTATTGACTTCTCAGTATCGGTAAAGTTAAAATATGACTCCATTGATGCTGAGCAGTTTTCTAGTTGTGCCCCACAGGCATATGATTCAGGTCTTTCACCCATATCAGTGTAGAAATTTTTTAAAAATATTTGGAGGGCAACCTTTCCCCCCACTGTTGGGGTACTTACAAATTTTTGCGGGCACTTTTTAAAAATAGTAATTAATGCATAAAGTTTCTGTTTTTAAGGTGAAATGAGCACAGATTAAATTGCATACAGTAATCACCACTTTGTGCAATTGCTATTCCAAAGAATATATGTGTATAGAACACTATCTGCATGTGAAAGAAAGCACAACACAAAAGGCTTTTAGGTTTTTATTTAGCTCTTAATAATATACTGTATGTATATGTGTATATGACATTAATTTCTAGATATAGTGAAAACCTTATCACAGTCTTTCAAATGAAATAGTTTGTTGGGTGGCATAGTAGTATAGCAGTCAGCACTGTTGTCTTGCATCCCTGGGACCAGGGTTCAAGTCTCTGCTGTGGCTTCATGTGTGTGGAGTTTGCATGTGTTGTTGAGGGGTTTTCCCTGAGTACTGCAGTTCCCCCCCCCACAGTCTAAAAAGATACTGAAGTTGATTGGAATTACCAAAATTGTAGGTTTTCTCTGGGTACTCCAGTTCCCCCCCCCTCCCCCACAGTCTAAAAGGGGCCTATTAAAATCAGGGTCTGAGCACCACTGATTTAATAGCCCTCCTTTACCTGTGAATGGGGTGTGAAGCCTCTGTGGCCAACCTGGAGCAGCACTCTGCTCTACTCTAAAAACATGCTCAGGTTCATTGCCCATAGGTGTGAATGGTGTGAGTGTGCCCTGTGATGTGTTGTTCACTGCCTTGTGCCTGTAGCCACCAGAATAGGCTCTGGACCTATTAAAGGTCTATTAAAAATATTTCACAAAAATAAAAGGCAGTTTTACACAACACTGCCTTTTATATACAACTGTAAATGCACACTGGGCTGTTCAACAAAATAAAACAAATATTGAAATTATGATATTTTTAACCTGTGGCAATGTTTTAAAATAAAATTAAACAACTACCAATTATTCTTTGTCTCCTTCAACTACCCCGTGAGACACTTACTGAATGGTTTGATTTTAGCCGTGAATTCTGGGAGTCTGTGCAACATCCTGAGCAACTTCATGGCTATCCTGACCATGGGTAATGACAGACAATAGCAGAGACTGCCTGTTTTGTTTTTGGATGAATGCTTTTATTAAAAAATAAAATTGGCCTCTACCAGGTATCATAACAGTGTTACACAGTACAATGTAGTAATATATTACATAGAATTATGTACGTATGTAGTGTGAACAACAGCACTGTTTGTATGAAGTAGTGTCTTTTCTTTTTTGGGGCATTTTAGGGGCATTTTTGCCCTTTGTCCCTGTTAATTTCTGACGCTGCCCCATATCCAGCAGCAGCACCCCTGCCCCACAGTACTTACGCCTTCTGTTGTTGTCTCTTCCAGAGGATTATGCCACCATGTGTAACTTGCCCTATCCTGGAGTTCAGCGCCCATACGGCCGGGACGCACTGACTGCCGGTGACGTGGACTATTATGAAGCTGGTCCAGACTTCGCCCCAGGAGCCCAGAGCCCCAGTCCCATCCGCTTCTATGAAGACAAGGAGGAAGGTACGTGGGCCTCGCCTGGCAGTCCTAGTTAACCGTTTAACAGCAGCCTGAGGAGGAAGAATAATTAGGGCCTGAAACAAAGCTCGCAGCTGCCATCTGGTGGCCACAAGTTTAATATTAAATTATCAGTGTTCTTTAATGACATCCTGTACCGTAAGTTCTCCAATTACAGTGTAGAAGAAAATAAGCAGGTAATAGAACTCAGTATGAACATTGTTCCTGACAAACCTGACATTATTCATTTTTTCATCATGGAAAAAATCATGTTAAAATTAAAGTTATGTTTTTGAGTTATTACTAGTTTGATTATGAAGGTATAATTATGGTGTTTAAAATGAATAGAGATAATTAGTGTATATGTCGGTTTCACATACATATCTGCCCTGAGGTGAGAATTGTCTTCATGATTGAATGAATGACAGAAACATCAAAAAGTCCTCTCTTCTTCTGCATTGGCCTTCAATCTTGTCTCCCTCCACCCTTCCTCCTTCACCCTGCCCACTCTCCCCCACCCCCCACCCATAGCAGGCCAGAGACCTTTTGAGGGCCTACGAGCCGAGGAGTGCGGGGTGCTTGACGGCTGTGAGAACGGCCGCTGCGTGCGGGTACAGGATGGCTATACCTGCGACTGCTTCGACGGCTACACCCTGGACATGTCGCACATGGCCTGTATTGGTGAGCTCCTCTGGGGAAGGGCAGGGTGGGCACAGGTTGCTGGAGGGTAACTTTGCGGGTGGCTCCTAAAAGGGGTAAATTCTAGGGGGGTTCTGATAGATACAGCTCATTTTTCTTGACATTAAATGGACAGTGTCAGCTGGTCATATGTTATCCTTACTAAGGTTGTATTATCCTCCTAAAGTTACATTGGTGGTTCAGTGCAAAAAAGCACCCATATGTACAATATATAATACATATATACACACACACGCATACACACGCAATGTCCATGTTCTACGATTGAAGGATGTGGGGTAGAGGTGTTTTTCTTGCACAATTAAACACTGTCTATCCTAATAGTTGAAAAAAGAAAGAGCAAACCACACTGGCATACGTAGAATGCGTCACACTAATGTGTTTGAAGGACATCGCTATTCAATTTGCATGATTCTCCCCATGTTACCAGAGGAGGCCAGTCAGTAGTCATGGCGATTAGAAGGAGGGGGGATCCCTGGCCGTTCCACCTTTGCCAGGACTTATACATCCTGCAATGTAGGTTTTAAAACTTCTTTTTAAGAAAAGACTGCATTTGCTCTCCATTTAGCCCGATAGCCATTTCCCACAGAAGGGCTAGGTTTATTGAGTACCTCGCACTGAGAAAAGAATGGTGCTCTCATCTGAGATTTTATTGATTTCCCTGCATTCCAATAAGTAGTGGGAGCTTGGTCATTGATTAACAGACTTTTATCAGAAGGTGAAGGCTTTCATTCGTCAGGTAGTTGGGGGCAGAATGGCATCTTTTAGGTGCAAGTGCAGTTTCTTCACCACTATTCCTCCTGGGAAGTTTCAGTATTTCGCAGCGAGAATGTGAAATGGGTTCTCTTGTTGTCAATCCATTCAGCATGGCCCCGCCCTCGATGTCATGACACTTTCATCTTCTCACAGATGTAAACGAGTGCTCTGAGCTCAACTCACGAATGGTGCTGTGCAAGAACGGCAAGTGCATCAACACACAGGGGTCCTACAAGTGTGTGTGCCTGCCAGGGTTCGTGCCCTCAGCACGCCCCAACTACTGTGTGGCCATCGAGAAGGTGACAGAGTGACCCAGGCTGCCCACAGGGGGCGACACAAGAACACAAACATTAAACAAAAACACTTATTTAATCTAAGCCCATATACTCTGCACTGTATAAAGTAAACTTAATGAAACAAAAATAATCTTACTTGAGATGAAGATGAAATTTAACCTACTATGAGGCATCTGTATGGAGAAGTGAAACACAGAATTGTATAAATATGTGTTGTTGTTTTTTTCATTTGAAGTTAAGCGCATGAGGGGAACACTTGTGCTCCCTCAGTATTGATAAACCATATGGACTTTTGCTGGGTGCTGGAGGATAATGTTTTTGATTCCTGCCCAGTCAAAACACATTTAGTGTGGGTATTTTATTAAGTGAAGAGGCTAGCTGACCAGCGCTTTCCCTACCATGATCTCCCAGCTCTCCCTCTATCTCCTGCTCCGCCCGCTCTTCAGTTGCTATAATGGACTGTCCGCTTGCGAACGGGTCGACATACCTAAACTTGAGCTTTGCGGCCTCTCAACAAGAAACACACACAGTATGTACAGTACTGTAATAGAATGTTCATGTAAATTCTTTGAAATAAGCTTTTTTTTCAAGGCATTTTTATATTGTTAAAAATAAAAAACACAAAACCGTACTTTTCTGTGTCTCAGACATTTGACAATGGCAGATTACTTTATGGTGTGTATTTTACTTTATTTTTTTGCCTGCCCTGTGGAGCAGCCACTTATGCACCCACCGTCCCTCCCACACACACACACACACACACACACAGATTATATACATGCATATATATATACACATAATTTTTCTATCCTCTCTTTTTCTAGGTTTAATGAAAAAATACAGTGCTCCATTTTATGATGCTGCTAGACAAAAGCTGAGTGTTGTACATTTAGACTTAATAAAACCGGTTTTATGTGTTGTAATTTGTACATGGAATCAGCTTTGTATGAATACTCTTTCATAATACTATGTATATTAAACCCCTTTAAATAAACTATTTGGTAAACTATTTAGTCGTGTTTTACTGGGGTTTCACCTGGTGGAATGTTAATTCTAGAAGGACTGTTCCTGAAAAGATACAGGAAGTGGTCATGAAAGGTAAGAAGTTATTCTGTCAATTTAGTGCAGAAAAGTAGATATTTAGGCACCCAGAGCAAATGTGTAATAGTCTATGTTATGAGCCATATTTGGATTTTTGTTTTTTTGTTTTACTTTAAACTTTTGACATCACTGAATATCTGAGTTGCCTTTTAACATCTTGTGATATTAATAATGAATCAAAACTAGAAATTGTGAAAAATTGCCCCTCTAGTGCACCTGTTGTTAATTTCATTAACACCAAAGCACCTGAAACTGATTAACAATATTGTATGGTTCTATGAATTCCTCCTGACTGCCTGAGGTGATATGAAGACTGAATGACTCATATCAACTTAGTTACGAGAATGCACTGATTGAAGGTCACATGTACTGTATCTAATCAACATGCTTAGCAGAAAAATAGCAAGGAGAAATGCCATCTTCATGAACAAGAACAACTTTTTTTTCTTTTTCACCTTTAAAGCTACATAGCTCAGCTATACCTCATTTGAAGGCTTAAAAAGAGTAGTTTTATGGTATGAAACTTTTGAATAAGTCTGTCTTCAAGTTGGAAGGTCATCTTGCAGGCCGTTTTGTTTTGTTTTTCTACAACATTTGGTTATTAAAAAAATAGTGAAGGGTGTAACAAGTTAATATTTTATAATGAAATATACGCTATAATATCAGCTATAATATTAAAACCACTGACAAGTGAAGTGAATAACATAAATTATCTCATTACAATGAACCTGTCAAGGGCTTCAGTATATATTAGGCAAATAAACAGTCAGTTCTTGAAGTTGATGTGTTGGAAGCAGGGAAAATGGGCAAGTGTAAGGATCTGAGTGACTTTGACAAGGGCCAAATTGTGATAGCTAGATGACTGGGTCAGGGCATCTCCATAACGAATGGTCTTTGTGGGCTGTTCCCAGTATGCATTGGTCAATACCTACCAAAAGTTAGCCAGTATCATGGACCCTAGGCTCACTGATGTGCGTGGGGAGCGAAGGCTGGTTTGTCTGCTCCAATTCCAGCTAAAGTGTGACAAGTTAAAAAAATATATTTTTGAGCTTAAAAAGGTATGTGGTGGATGGGTAATTGGTTCACTTTATTGGGAAGAAAGTACCTGATATGTCCCGATCGTGCCGCTCTCCTGTGTGCCACGCCCTAATACTGTAGTCAAACAATATAAAGACATGCGCACACGTCACATGAATCAAAAGCAAACTACAAATACTATATGCCAATACAAACTGCACATCAAATTGTGCATTAATAAGAATAAGGACAAGTGCTTAAAAGATTCTGACATCTTGATGTCTGCAGTGGCATGTGATTACAACACACTGCCAAGGATATCAAGCCTGTTGTTCAGTCGGGCAAGAACAATAGAACACAGACATTATGGACAAATAACAGATTGATAAACTAATACAGTTTGATGAAATACTTAAAAACAGAGAGAGAGAAGGAGAACGAGAGCATCACTGTTAATAGGCATATTTTCAGAGAGGAGGGAGAGAGAAAACAGTTCACATTTTAAAATAGTGGTTGATTGCACTTCAGGAAAACTAATGATTGCAACATCTTATAGCCTGTGATGCTGGATGTAACATTTAACTAGCGCTACACTTATTTTGCGCGTATAACACATATTTTGATTGGATGAGTGCAATGAACACAACAAAATGCATGTATATCATTGATTGGTTGCATTTGAAGGGTGAGAAAGGCTAAATAATAATAATGTTACGTTGTGTGTCATGGATACTTTTCGCTCCAAATCTCCTGACCACTATGTCGATCTCAGACAGCGAGACCAAGACAGCGAGACCAAGACCAAGACCAAAGACCGTCGAGACTGTGACAAGATGAAGACCACGTAGACCGGTCTCGAGACATCCAACTCTAGTAAACCCTACCCAGACATGTGCTCTTGTTTATTTCAATCACAATGGGCGCATTCACATATTTCTTTACCCAATACTAACTGTCGGATTATCATGTTATCATGCGAATAGCGCGATTTGCAAGTGGGAAGGCGATCAGAGCTGCTTCGAGACGCAGACACTTAAGTCAGTCACTCTTGTTCTTTCTATTCGTATCACGAAGCTGTAAAAATATACAGTGGTGCCTCGAAACTCAAACTTAATCCGTTCAGAACTCCAGATCGAATTTTTCCCAAAAAAAATTATGGAAAACCAATTAATTGGTCCCCGGCCTCAAAAATTACACCTTAATATGTTTTTTAGAGCATATATTGTACTAAACACATCTAAGCACATCTATCAAAACAGTAATTTGTAAAGTAAGACAATAAATGTATCCAAACAATGTGTAAAGTTAAAAAAAACAATGTGTCCTGCCCCGATCGTCCGCTCCTTCCATGTACCACGCCCCTGCGTTAACCCCGTGTGGAATCCCCGTGTGATCAGCTGTTTCTGGTTATTTTTTTAGCTCTCTGTATGTCCGCGTTTCAGTTTGTTTTCCCCAGTCCGGTCATTGTATTGTCCGTCTGCGTTTTACCTGCCTTTCCTGTAATTAAACCCAGTATTCCCCGATACCCTGACGTCTGTGCCTTTGTCTCCGTTCCATCCCTGCTCAGCACGACAATATTATTATAATTAAATGTAGTATTATTTTGGAATGAAATAATACATTTCATTTCGTTTTTCATTTTAATATTATTATTAATATTAAAATAATGAATAAGATATCTTTATTTGTAAATGTATTTTTTTATATAATAATTTACTGTTACTGTCTATCGTCTAAATGTTTTTTTACTGTCTAAATATATGTATTCAGCTAGTGTAAACATGCACAATGATATCACAGCGAATGCGAGGCTGAGACTGAAGCTTTACCCTTTGGATATTGATCTGGTCAGTTAAGTTTCAGAGGGGGTTGTTAATCAGTTTCAGGTGCTTTGGTGTTAATGAAATTAACAACAGGTGCACTAGAGGGGCAACAATGAGACGACCCCCAAAACAGGAATGGGGTAACAGGTGGGGGCCACTGAAATTTTTCCCTCCTCATCTTTTCTGACTGTTTTTTTCCACTAGTTTTGCATTTGGCTACAATCAGTGTCACTACTGGTAGCATGAGGCGATACCTGGACCCTACAGAGGTTGCACATGTAGTCCAACTCCTTCAGGATGGTGCATCAATATGTGCCATTGCCAGAAGGTTTGCTGTGTCTCCCATCACAGTCTCAAGGGCATGGAGGAGATTCCAGGAGACAGGCAGTTACTCTAAGAGAGATGGACAGGGCCATAGAAGGTCCTTAATCCATCAGCAGGATTGGTATCTGCTCCTTTGTGCAAGGAGGAACAGGATGAGCACTGCCAGAGCCCTACAAAATGACCTCCAGCAGGTCACTGGTGTGCATGTCTCTGACCAAACAATCAGAAACAGACTTCATGAGGGTGGCCTGAGGGCCCGACGTCCTCTAGTGGGCCCTGTGCTCACCGCCCGGCACCGTGGAGCTCGATTGGCATTTGCCATAGAATACCAGAATTGGCAGGTCCACCACTGGCACCCTGTGCTTTTCACAGATGAGAGCAGGTTCACCCTGAGCACATGTGACAGAAGTGAAAGGGTCTGAAGAAACTGCGGAGAACATTATGCTGCCTGTAACATTATTCAGCATGACCGGTTTGATGGTGGGTCAGTGATGGTCTGGGGAGGCATATCCATGGAGGGACACACAGACCTCTACAAGCTAGACAACAGCACCTTGACTGCCATTAGGTATCGGGATGAAATCTTTGGACCCATTGTCAGACCCTACACTGGTGCAGTGGGTCCTGGGTTCCTCCTGGTGCACGACAATGCCCGGCCTCATGTGGAGAGAGTATGCAGGCAGTTCCTGGAGCATGAAGGAACTAATACCATTGACTGGCCCCCACGCTCGCATGACCTAAATCCAATGGAACACCTCTGGAACATTATGTTTCGGTCCATTCGACGCCACCAGATTGCACCTCAGACTGTCCAGGAGCTCAGTGATGCCCTGGTCCAGATCTGGGAGGAGATCCCCCAGGACACCATCCATAATCTCATTAGGAGGATGCCCTGACATTGTTAGGCATGCATACAAGCACGTTGAGGGCCATACAAACTACTGAGTACGATTTTGAGTTGCTGCAATGAATTTTCAGCAAAATGGACTAGTCTGCTGCATCATTTTTTCACTTAGATTTTCAGGGTGTCTTTGAATTCAGCCCTCTGTAGGTTTGTAATTTTCATTTCCATCAAACCATGTGGCATCCTTTCACTCTTAACACATCACCCAGTTCATATCAGTATAGATATCCAGCACGATTTTTTCCCCATTGAAATCTGATGCATTTTCAAAGTGTTCCTTTTATTTTTTTGAGCAGTGTATATTTGAAAAGTAGACCATCCATTTAAGATGTGTATATGACGACTCCAGAGGGTTAACTCCTGGACATAAGAACATAAGAACATAAGAAC